GCCCTCCCCGGCTCCAGCCTTGCCGGGCTGCCCAGGGGCCCCAGAGAGCAGAGGCGCTTTGGCTGCTTCCCGCTGGTCCTCCCCTTGCTGGCGCCGGCCCTGGTTCTCCTGGGGGCCCTGCTCGGGGACTGCGCCCGGCCGAGGGCCCGGCCCCCCCTCGGGGAAACACTGGCCGTGTCCCGGCCCCTCCTTGGGCCCGCATCCCGCCGGGGCCCGCTCCTCCGGCTCGGGGCCTGAGCTCGGCCGGGGGCCGGAATGCTCGACCCGGGGCAAGCAGGCGCTCCGCCGGGCCTCTAAGCGAACGCCACACAGCCGCTTGTTGGCCACCTGCGGCCTCTCCACCCACACGGCCACCGCCGCCCAGAAGCCCCCAGGGAGCAGCGAATCCGGGTCGCGAACAGCAACCCTTCCCACCTCCGCCATGTTCTGTCTCCGCCAGAGCCTCGGCGGCGCGCCGGGATGACGCACATTACGGCGCGGCGTGTTTGCGTCATGGGGGCGGGACGCCGCGGCCGGAAGTGAAGGGGAAGAAGACGGACCCACTTCCTTTCCTGCTTTGGGTTCTTTATCGTTATTCGGCTGGGGAGTTCGGGGCCGAGGAATTTTTTTTTTAATTTTATTTTGTTTTATACAGCAGGTTCGTATTAGTTATCCATTTTTTACATATTAGTGTATACATGTCAATCCCAATCTCCCAATTCATCACACCACCAGCTCCACGCCCCGGCGCTTTCTCCCCTTGGTGTCCATACGTTTGTTCTCTACATCTGTGTCTCTATTTCTGCCCTGCAAACCGGTTCATCTGTACCATTTTTCTAGGTTCCACATATATGCGTTAATATACGATATTTGTTTTTCTCTTTCTGACTTACTTCACTCTGGGGGCTGAGGAATTTAACCTTTGCTTTATTCTCCGGGGAAACATCCAAGGGTGTCGGTGCCGGATAGTAACATGACCAGAGCTGAGTTTTGGAGAATTCTGGAGGTGGTGTATTTATGGAATCATAAAGGTCAATCCTGCATCCGACGTCTGATTGTCTCCGTATTGTTACCGATCAAAGTCATGGAGCCTACGTTTGTGAATGTTCAGGGTTGTCCTCTAATGAAAGCTCGCGCGTCTCCGTTTTTACTCTGGCGTGCTTTCTCGTGTGGGAGAGTTGCAGCTGGTGCGTTTCTGCGTCTGACCGCTGCCCTGGGGTGTTTGTTAGGACAGGTGAACGTCAGCTGTCGCGTGTTCCCAGGAGGAGCAGAGAAGGGCGGGTACTGCGGGTTTAGGCCAACGTCAACTGCACAGTCTGCAGAATCTAGTGATATCCCGAAAACCTCAAAGATTCTTCATTCTTTTTGTACATTATAGTCCCTCAGTTGGGATTTTCCCTAAAGGGTCTCTGTCAGAGTCAAGGAGTGAAAACTAACTCAGATCATGTGATTTATCAGAGAGAAGAGCAAAAACCAAATGTCTGTTGAATTACGTAAAAGATAAATGAATGCTAAACCTCATAGTCTTTGACCATGGAGTTGATTTTCATGCTGTCTGTATTGCTTTCCCAGGGCTGCCATAAAAAATTACCACAAACTGGATGGTTTAAAACAACGGAAGTTTATTCTCTCACAGATCTGAAAGCTCGGAGGGGAAATCTATTTCTTGCCTCTCAACTTCTGGGGGTCGCCAGCAATTTTAAGTGTTCCTGGGCTTGTGGCCACTAACTCTAATCGCTGCCTCTATGGTCATGTGGGCTTCTTGTGTTTCTCTGCGTCTCTTCTCCTGCAAAGACCCTATTTCCAAAGAAGGTCACAGGTACGGTGGGTTAGGACTTCGGCATGTCTTTGGGGGGGAGACATAATTCAACCTCCGCCGCTATCCGAAGATGTTTAGCCAGGTGGGATAGCCAAAAGATTAATAATTACAAACCTTATTAGTTGCTAACATGTGGAGGGACCTGGGCTAAGTATTGAGGGTGCAGGGCGAAGGAAGTTCCTGCCCTTGAGGAACCTTCAGGCCGACAGAGGAGGCAGACAGGTAAGACAATGATCAAGGAATATGAAAAGTGCAACAGTCAAGATATACGGGGTGCAGAGGCTGCAGAAGGAGGGAAGTTTTTTTTTACACTATAAGGCTCCTCTGGGACTTTCCTGGTGGCGCAGGAAATCCGCCTGCCAATGCAGGGGACATGGGTTCAATCCCTGGCCGGGGACGATCCCACATGCCGCAGAGCAACTAAGCCACAGCTACTGAAGCCCGCACACCTAGAGCCCATGCTCCGCGACAAGAGAAGCCACTGCAATGAGAAGCCCACACCTCAACAAAGAGTAGCCCCCGCTCGCCGCAACTAGAGAAAGCCTGCGTGCGGCAACAAAGACCCAACGCGGCCAAAAATAAATTAATTAAATAAAAAGTAAAAATAAAAGCCCTTGCCTGCTGATTGGCAGTGGGTAGTTGGCCTTTGGACAGGAGTCCACCTTCTCCCCTGGTTGCTGACTCCTGAATAAAGCAACCTTTCCTTTACACCAACACCTGCCTCTCAAGTATCAGCTTTCAAGTGGCAAGCAGTTGGACCTGAGTGCAGCAATGAGAGGTCGTAAATCCAGAGAACAATGTTTAGGGGGAGGTGGAAAATTCCAGTTCGATGGGGGCGGTATCCCTGCATAAGCTCATGCCGGTTCCCTGCCAGAAGCCCACACATTGAATCAAAATTGCAGGTATCCTCCCTCTTGGGCTCCTGCCTCTTGGCCTCCTGCCTCCGATGTCCCACACAGGCTGGTTCCTGCCTCCCTTGCCACCTCATTTCCCTTCCCTCACCTGCTAAGTCCTGCACGGGGTGCTTCTCATCCTTGGAACTTGGAAGCTCATTCCCCTCTCTCCCACTCTGTTCCCTCTGCCTGGAATGCTCGTTCCCTATCTTCTCCCCATTAAGAGCTCAGATTAAATGTCCTCTCCTCAGACAGGGCTTCCCGAACGACCCCCGCCCCACCAAAAAAAGAGCCCTCCAGACACCTCATATCTTATTGCCCTGTTTTGTTTTCTTATAATTATCCAAGCGTTGTAGTGTGCTTTGTTTCCTTCCTCTGGAACACAAGCGTCCTTAGGTCAGGAACTCTATCTGGCTTGTTTGCCACCATAGCCCTAGCTTAGTTTTTGGCACACTGGACACACCCAGTGATAATTTCTGAGTGAAAATGTCCGTGAGGGAAGGCAGTGTGTCAGAGCCAGGCTTAGGTCAAGGTTGCAAGCCGTGGCCTGGGGTTGGGAGTGGTCTCAGGATACTGATAGCCTAGAGAACTTCCAGTGAGGTTGGAAATGTTCTATGTCTGCATTGTCTGAAACAGTAGCCACAGGTGGCTATGGAGCATGTGAACTGTAGCGAATGCAACTGCGGAACTTAATGTGAAATGTATTTAACTAATGCACATTTGAATTAAAATAGGCGCATGAGGCTAGTGGCTACTGTACTGGACAGTGTGACTCTAGAGATACCCAGGTGGGACTCCCAAACACCCTCCAGGCTGGGTCCTCAACATCTAAGTGCCGGACGCCGGTGGAGCTCAGGGAAAGCAGCGGCTGAGGCTTCAGTGGGAAGGCCCTCTAGGCTCTGAATGTCCTGAGTGCCAGCCCTATCGTGCTGACCGAACACGGGCTTCACGCCACTTCAGTAGGAGCTCATCCTCCCCATTACTTTCTAGGTCCTCAGCCAGACACTCCCCTGATGCCAAGCCTCGTTCAGTATTTAAACCCTTTGGATTGAATTGTTGGGTTTATGATTTCCAAAAATAAATTCTTTCATTGACTCATGCCTGTAACATCTGCCACGAAGATCAAAGCTTCGGCGCTTTCTGTGTGCATCTCATACAAAACCATATTGAATTGCATAACTCTTTCCCAATACCATTCTCAGCTGCCACCTACTTGATGTAGATTTACTACGGTGAAGGAGGTTGGTGCTTGTGGTACTGGCAGAGCTGTGACAGGACCATACTCGGTACCAAATCATCACGGCCCATCCCAACCCAGTGACCTGGTGACTCCTTTCCAACCACTCTTCTCTGGACCCTGAACTGGTAAGGGAGGTGGTGGTTGTGGGAGAGAAAGGAGCAAGGGGATAAGGAGAGACAAGTGGCCAGAGTTTTGGAGGAGACTTTAGTGTTAACAATGTGTTCAAATAATTGCAGTTACCAACAATGGCCAACAGAGCAAATGACTCAAAATGAGCAGGGAATGGGTGTGCCTAACAGGGTGGAGTGGGACAGATGTCAAAAGGACAAGAGTGGGCGGATGGGGACTGACGGCAGAGCCCCAGCAGAGGACAGCCAGATCATCGTCAGCTGAGTTACCGAAAGAGCTCGCACCCTGCCCTACTGCTCACACCAGCTCCTGGCAGCTTTACCAGGAAGTAGCTAAGAAAACATATGCAAGACAGAACTCCCTTTCTCTTCCCCCAAGTGGCTCCTCCTATGTCGGTCTCCATGGCATCTCTACCTACCCAGCAAAACAACCCCGAGTAGTGTGTGAACCCTTCTTCTCTCCCCACCTCGCCACTGCCCCAAAAGTAATTATGTCCACCCAATTCCACCCAGAGATGTCCAAAGCACGTTCCCTGTCAAATGCACGTCAAGCAGTGTCCTAAAACCAGAGAGGGTACAGAATCCCCGGGATTCTTCTGCAGGAAGGTCCACTGGGAAGATCGCCAGGGACCGTCGGAGGAAAGTCTCCCGTTTGCGCGCAGCCTCAGCGGCCTTTGCGCGCGGACGCGTCCTGCGTTTCCCGGGCGACGGGGCGGGCGGCGCGGTGAGATGACGTCAGGGGGCGGGGGAGGGGAACCGGGGCGGTGCGGAAGGCAGGGCCTGTCTGCGGCTGCGCGCGCTCTTCTTCGTCTGGGACTTCGGTCTATGTCCCGGGGACGAGCGGTGAACGCCTGCTGTGTGCGCTGGGCGGTGCGAGGACTCGCGAGCCGGAGGGCCTGGCGAATTCCGAAGGTCCGGCCCGCCTTAGCCCGGGAGCGCGGGGGTGGCACGTGCAAAGGCCCGGGGGCAAACGTGTGTCCCGCGCGGGATTGCTGGGCGCAGAGGCTGCAAGGGCCGGCGGCCGGGCGGGTAACTGCGCGAGACGTTTTGAGGAGTTACGACATTGTCCCCTGAGGTCACCTAAAGGGAGAATGATCGGATCCGCATGGTAGGGCCATCTCTGAAATTGTCTGCAAGCGGCTGTTGCCACAATAATGGTATGGACATTCCATGCCGGGAACTGCTCCAAGTGCCCCCGTGAATGGCAACAGCGTGCAGACTAGATACAGGACTAGCCTTACCGTGTTGTCATCACCCCCGAGAGGTGAAGTGACTTTGCCAAATTCGCCCGACGCGTAAGCTCTACAGTTGGGATCTGACACCAGGCGTCTGGCTTCAGATCCTCGTATGTAACAGCTGAACCATCATGCAGTACTGTTGGTGACCTCAGGCGGCATTTTGCTGCTTAGAATCCTGGCATTTGGGGTGGGATGTGCCTGATGACAGCGTTAAGACCTTGGGCAATTTACTCCACTCTGACAAGCTGCGGTTTCCTCATGTGTAAAGTAAGAGTACTGATTATACTGGGGTTGCCAGCACCGTGGAGATCAACGATTCCATCTCTGTTAGCAACGTGTGAGGTTAACACACCCACCCACAAGCAATGTTTGCTCAATAATCGGAGGTTATTATGATAGATGTAATAGGAGCAACGAGAAACGAAAGGGTTCGGTTGGCATTAAAGAGGTGCAATGGGGGGGGGGGGGGGGGAGGAAGGCTTGGAAACTAATTGGATTATGGGGCACAAAGGAGAAGGGAATTCCAGGATGACACTTGGGTTTATAGATCAACTAACCCTTGGGCCACTGGCAGCAAAGAACTGGCCCTGCAGGGGGACAGGTAGAGCCGGGGGCTGAGGGTGAGTTCCATGCCGAACATTCAGAGTTTGAGGACCTCTGGAACGTGAGAGGAGAGGGGTGTCCAGGAAGCTGCCAGTGAGCACGTGGGGCTGGAGGTGTGGAGTTGGGAGCCCTTGGTGAATTAAGTCAGTGTAAACGGATGAGATGATGCAGGGCGAGAGTGGCTGAGGCCCAGTCTGCAAGGAGACAGAAGAGGAGCTGCAGAGGCAGGAGAAATGTGGTGTTCTGGACCAACCAAGGGATGGGGCCACCTGCAGGGAACTCCAGAAAGATACAAAGTTCCCTTGGACTTTGTAGCTTGTATTTGGGGGCACTTGGTCTCCGCCAAGAGCTGTGCCTTACTTTTTTTAAATTTTATTTTAAATTTAACCTGTTTATTGAGCTATAACTCACTGTACAATTCACCCATCTAAAGTGTACAGATTAGTGGTTTTCCCTATCCTGTATTCAGAGTTGTGTAACCAACCCCGCTGTTTAATTCCAGGACATGTCCATCAGTCCAAAAGAAACCTTGGACACATTAATTGTCACAATCCTTATCTTCCCACCTCCCCAGCTCCTGGCAGCTGCTAACCTACTTTCTGTCTCTCTCTTTTTACCCTATCTGATCATTTCACTTAAATGGGATCATGCAGTCTGTTATCTTTCAAGTCTCACTTCTTTCACTCAGCATCACGTTTTCAAGGTTTGTCTACATTGTAGCATATGCCAGTACTGCCTTCCTTTTTGTGGCAAATCATATTTCATTGTATGGAGAGACTACATTTTATTGATGAACATATGGGTTGTTTCTACTTTGGGGTTATTATAAATGCTGCTATGAATATTCTTTGGATATTTATTTTCATTTCTCTTGGCTATATTCCTAGAAGCGGAATTGCCGGGTCATGTGGTAACAGTATACTTAAGCTTTTGAAAGATTACCAAATTTTCCAGAGCCACTGCACCATTTTACATTCCCACCAGCAATGTATAAGGGTTCCAGTTTCTCTGCATCCTCATCAACACTTGTTATTATCTATCTTTTTGATCCATGGCCATCCTAGGGTATGCAAAGTGGTATCTTATTTTGGTTTTGATTTGCATTTCCCTGATGGCTAATGCTGTTGAGAGTCTTTTCATGAACTTGTTGGCCATTCGTGTATCTTTGGAGAAATGTCTATTTGAGCCGTTTAAATTGGGTTATTTGGCTTTATTATTAAGTTTTAAGATTCTTCGTGTAGCCTGGGTACAAGTCCCTTATCAATATATGATTTTCAGATCTCTTCCCCCATTCTCTGGGTTGTCATTTCACTTTTTTAAAAAAATTTTTATTGGAGTATAGTTGATTTGCAATGTTGTGTTAGCTTCAGGTGTACAGCAAAGTGAATCAGTTGTATATATAGCCACTCTTTTTTTTTTTTTTAAAGATTCTTTTCCCATATAGGCCATTACAGAGTATTGAGTAGAGTTCCCTGTGCTCTACAGCAGGTTCTTATTAGTTATCTATTTTATATATAGTAGCGTGTATGTGTCAGTCCCAATCTTCCAGTTTATCCCTCCCTCCCCCTTATCCCCAGTAACCATAAGTTTGTTTTCTACATCCGCGGCTCTACTTCTGTTTTGTAAATAAGTTCATTTGTACCCTTTTTTTTTAGATTCCACATATAAGCGATATCATATATCAGATATTTGTCTTTCTGTGTCTGACTGACTTCACTCAGTATGACAATCAATCCTTCCACGTTGCTGCAAATGGCATTATTTTGTTCTTTTTATGGCTGAGTAATATTCCATTGTATATATGTACCACATCTTCTTTATCCATTCTTCTGTCGATGGACATTTAGGTTGCTTCCATGTCCTGGCTATTGTAAATAGTGCTGCCATGAACATTGGGGTGCGTGTATCTTTTTGAATTATGGTTTTCTCCGGGTATATGCCCAGGAGTGGGATTCCTGGATCATATGGCAACTCGATAGTTTTTTAAGGAACCTCCATACTGTTTTCCATAGTGGCTGTGATAGTGACCAGGGTTCTTGGCCTTCCCCAACCAAAAGAAATTGATCAGAGGCCAGACAAGAAATTCAAACAAGGCTTTATTGGGACCCCTGCTGCAGCAGAGGGGAGCAAAAAACAGGTACCCTTGCTGGCTCGCTCCCTGAGGGGGTGCGAGCTGCTTCCTTATATGGGGTGAGGGTAGGGGTGTGTACAGGGGTCGAGCCAGAGGGGTGGCTTAGGAGGTTTGCCCACCCCTTAGGGGGGGTTGAGTGCAGGGGGCATGCTCAGGACCCTGCTCTTGCTCTCACCACCCTGCTTTTGCTCCCGGCTCTTCAGAAGCGGCATTTGAGTTTTTTGGTCTTTTGTATATTTTGTCCAGAATTTGCCCCAACTGCCCATGCACGCAGTTATTTTTAGTCCCATATAATTTCTTTGTCTTTTGTTGCTCAAGGAGAGGTGTGTCCATGTGCAAGCACTGCAGCAAAGGGTCCCCGGTCCCAGGCCTGTCTCAGCTGTACCAGTTTACATTCCTACCCACAGCGTAGGAGGGGTCCCTTTTCTCCACACCCTCTCCGGCATTTATTGTTTGTAGATTTTTTGATGACGGCCGTTCTGACCGGTGTGAGGTGATACCTCATTGTACTTTTGATTTGCCACTTTCTTGATGGTGTCCTTTGCAGCAAAACATTTTCATTTTGATGAAGTCCAATATGTATATTTTTTCTTATGTTGCCTGTGCTTTTGGTATCATCTTTAAGAAGGCTTTGCCTATCTTGAAATTATAAAGATTTACTCTTATATATATATTTCTAAGTTTGTAGTTGCAGCTTTTACATTTAGATCTGTGATCCATTCTGAGTTAATTTTGTGTATGTGTGTGGAAAGAGTTTCGACTTCATTCCTTTGCATGTGGTTACTCAGCTGCCCCAGCACCATTTGAGAAAAGACTGTTTTTCTCCGTTGAATTGTCTTGGCACCCTTCTCAAAAAGCAATTGACCCTACATGTTAAGGTTTATTGCTGGACTCTCAGTCCTATTCCATTGATAAATATGTCTGTCTTTATGCCAGTACCACAGTGTCTTCATTATCGTCACTTTGTAGCAAATTTTGAAATCGAGAAGAAGTGTGAACCTTCCAACTTTGTTTTTCAAGGTGTTTTTGTCTATTCTGAGTTCCTTACACTTCCATGTGAATTTTAGGGTCAGCTTTTTAATTCTTGCAAAACAAGCCAGCTGGAATTTTGACTGGGATGACACTGAATCTGTAGATGAGTTGGGGAATATCGGTATTTTAATAATATTAAGTCTTCTGATCCATGAACAAGGGGTACAGGACCTCCGCCACCAGGGCAGTCTTATTTAGGTCTTAGATTTCTTTCAAAAATGTTTTATAGTTTTCAGAGTACAAGTTTTGCACTTCTTTTGTTGAATTTATTTCCAAGTATTTTATCATATTTCATGCTGTTGTTGATGGAACTGTTTTCTTAATTTCATTTTTGAGTTGTTCATTGCTAGTATATAGAAACCAGTTGACTTTTTTTGAAAAAAATATTTATTTATTATTTATTTAGGCTGTGCCAGGTCTCAGTTGCAGCACACAGGCTCTTTAGTTGCTGCATGTGGGTTTCTTAGTTACGGCATGCATGCGGGATCTAGTTCCCCGACCACGGATCGAAATCAGGCCCTCAACATTGGGAGCATGGAATCTTACCCACTGGACCACCAGGGAAGTCCCGAAACCAGTTGACTTTTGCTTACTGACCTTGTACCCTGCAAACTGGCTGAACTGATTTATTAATTCTAATCGTTTTTTGGAATTTCTGTATACAAAGTCATGTCATCTGCAGATAGAGATAGGTTTCTAATCTGGATGCCTTTAATTTCATTTCTTGCTTAATTACATCGACTAGCACGTCCAGTATAGTGTTGACTAGAAGAGTTAGTGGACATCGTTGTCTCGTTCCTGATCTTAGGGGAAAGGCATTCAGTCTTTCATATTTAAGTACAATGATAGCTATGGGGTTTTCGTAGATGCCTTTTATCAGGTTAAATAGCTTTTATCAAACTATTTCTAGTTTATTGAGTTTTTATCACGAAAGCGTGTTCAATTTTGTCAAATGCTTTTTCTGCAACTGTTGATATGACCGTGTGTTTTTTGTCCTCTATTCTGTGGATATGGTGTATTACATGAATTGATTTTCAAACGTTGAATCAGCCTTACATTCCTAGTATAAATTTCACTTGGTCATGGTGTATAATCCTTTTTGTATGTTGCTGGATTTAGTTTGCAAGATTTATTGAGGACTTCTGCTATATTCATGTGGGGTGTTGGTTTGTAGTTTTCTTGTGATGTCTTTGGTTTTGGTTTCAAGGGAATACTGGCTTAATGGAACGCTTTACAGACATGTTCCTTCCTCTTTTTTTTTGCGGGGGGGGGGATGGGGGGAAGGGTTTGTAGATTACTGGTATCCTTCTTTAAATGTTTGGTAGAATTCACACCCGAAGGCCTCTGGCTTTTCTTTGTGCGTCGTTTATGGATTCCTAATTCAATCTCTTTACTTGTTATAGGTCTATTCGCATTTTCTGTTTCTTCATGAGTCAGTTGGTAGGCTGTGTCTTCTGAGGAATTTGTCCATTTTATGGAGTGTATCGGACTTGTTGGCATACACTGGTTCATAGGATTCCCTTAGAATCCTTTTTATTTCTTTAAGGTCGGTAGTAATAGCCCCTCCTTGGTTCCTGAAGTGAGTAATTTGTGTTTTCCCTCTTTTTTAACTGGTTCAATCAAGCTAAAAGTTTGTCAGTCTTTTCAAAGAACCAACTTCTGTTTTTGTTGATCTTCTCTTTTCTATTCCATACTTTGGGCTCTAATCTTTTATCTTCTTCCTTTCCGCTTGCTCTAGGTTTAGTCTGTGATTTTTTTCCCAGCATCTTAAAGTGATGCCTGAAGAACTTGCCTTGGGGTCAGACTCTGGGTTCAGGTCCCTCCTCTACCACTTCTCAGCGGTGGGAGTTCCCAAAAGACAGCAAGCCTCTCTGAGCTGGGGTTCTTTCATCTTTCGAGAGGGCCAGTAGTACTTGGCTCACAGTTTGGGGGGTGAAATGAGCTGCAGTCTGTCGAGGCATCATCCCTGACACACAAGTGGGTGGTTAGATGTGCCCCTTCCCATCTTTTCCTCTGTCACACACACAGAAGACAGAGGTGCTTCACCGGCAAAGTGTGTATCAGCAACCTTGACCATCATACTCAGAGTCCGACATCCTAGACTATTCTAATGTTTAACTAGAAGGACTTAAACGTTCCCTTGGGCCTCAGAGAGTTGAGCTGGGGGTTCACGCCCAGGACTCTGCTCTCTTGGTGGCCCTCTAGGTCTGTGTTCACAAGCCTCTCCCGTCCCTGGCTTCATTGGCCCAGGCACTGTGGAAGAGGAGCCAGTCTGCTCAGAAAATTCCAGATCGAACCTTTGGTCAAGAGAGCTGGGTTGCTCTGTTAGTAGAAGCCAGACATCCCCCGTCCAGGCTCTGGGCGGGCATCCCCCGTCCAGGCGGGCTCAAGGGGACCCTAACGGTGTGGCCAGAGTGCACTGGCCAGCGCCGGCTCGACTCCAGGGCGAGGCTTCCTGGGCCGCCGGTCTGGATGGCCCGGCGGGGGCGAGGTGTCTTCAGGCCAGGCTGTAGCACACAGAGCCCTGGACCCTGGTGCTTCACAGCGCCTGCCCTGGGCTGCCCTTTGCCCCCGTCCAACGCCTCATCACCTTGGTTCAGGAATAGAAACGCAGAGCGCTCACCTCCTCTCTGGGAGGATGGCCGTCAGCTCTGTGGCCCCCGCCGGTTGTCCCTTCACAGTCAGAGCTCGTTTGCCCTTCACAGCCTGCTGCACACGTGCCGTTGTTGGCGATGGTGTGAGTAGGACACGAGCTGACTTGGTTCGTGTATCTGTGCAGGTGGCGGGAGCGATGGCGCCCCTTGGGGAAGGGAGCGATGACCCCGTGCTGCCAGACCTGCCCCGGGGGCCCCTGCATGCGGCCCGCGCCCGCGCCTCCTTCCCCTGGAAGGAACTGGCGCTGTTCTGGGAAGGGCCGGACATGCTGCGCTTCAAGGTGAGGCTGGGCTGGGCGGCGCCGGGGGACCCTCGTGGTCGGGCAGGGTCTGCTGGGTGGCTGGGTCCTCGGCAGAAAGGTGGGGCGGGCCCTCGGGGAATCATAGGGAGCTGGGAATGCATGAACACAGACAGGTGGAGCTTCCTAAGCCTGGGGCCCTCGCTCTCCCCTGGGAAGGACTCTCATCTCTGTCCCTGCATTTCTGGGTTACACTGCACGTCTGAGGCCATAAGACGTGGCCACGAGAAATCCACATAAGCCAGAGCATAGCGACATTCCATACTTTACCTCCAAATCAGCCATTCCGCGCCCCCTGCCTTTCCAGAAAAACATCTTCTCGGCGCTGGAGAACGACCCTCTCTTCGCCCATCCCCCCGGCAGTCTCTCGCTGGAGAAGTACCGGGAGCTGACCTTCCTGCGCTGCAAGCGGGTCTTCGAATACGACTTCCTCCGCGTGGAGGACTTGCTGGGGAGCCCGCTGAGGGTCCTGGCGCTGATCCAGTGCCTGGGCATGTACGACTGGTCCCTGGCCACCAAGTTCTTCCTGCACACGCTGGTGAGTCGGCCCCGGGAGAGGAGAGGAGAGGGATCCCCGCTCTCACCCTGCGCCCCGGGGCCACGACGGCTCTCTGTCCACATGGACCTAAAACACATTCAGCCTGTGAGAGGCAGACAGGTGCCTTTGCGGGTTCGTGGTTGTCAGCGTTTGCCTGCTTCTAAGGTTTTGGGAGATCTGTGCGTTGGGGAAATATTCATTTAAAGAGATTTCTAGAAAATAAGATAGGAAGCAAAAGCAGAGATGAGAATGTGGGGGCAGATCTTGTGACTTTTAGTGAGAAGACCAATGTTTTTTCAGCCATTTATGCAAATATTTACGCATTAAGTCCTTGGATAAAGTGCAGTGCTGTGAAGTTATAGCCCCATAGGAACAGGAGCGTTGGGAATTTTGCTTTATACCAAAAAAGAAAGAAAGAAAGGGAGGGAGAGAGAGAGAGAGAAAGAAAGAAAGAGAGAGGGGGGCGGGGGGAGAGGGGAGAAAGTAGGTCAAAGGTGAAGCCTGTGTTTCTGCCTCAAATACACGGGTAGAGCTGAACTTGAGAAGACGGCCTCATCCACGTGCTGTGTGAAGGAAAGGTGGGCTCACTCTGCCCTTCCTGCACCCTCATCCCTCATCCCACCCCCACCTCCTTGCAGTTCATGGACCCTCACAGTTCAGTGTAACTCGCGTAAACTGCTTGGGACAAGGACCCAGGTCTCGCTACTCCACAAGGCTGTGTCTCAGGGGACCCTGGACCTTGGGCGCCAGTGCCCTTACCTCTGGGAACCTGATGACCTCGCTGTGGGATGCTGTGGTGCTGAGGGACCATGGTAGGGTGGGTGTGAAGTCCCAGGGCGGCGGCACTCATTAGCTTCCACCTTTTTACGTCATGGTGTTCTGTTTTCAGACCTTTGGATCAGCGATCTACAGCTCTGGCTCTGAAAGACATTTCAAATATCTTCCAAAGATCTTCACTATGGAGGTCAGTTGAGGGTCGTGGTAAGTCGTGAGCTCACGTCCTGTTCCCTGTACCCCTTAGAGGTTTGTGGAAGGGAAAGCTTGCAGCGGGGGGTAGGGATGCTCCTCTTATCTCATGATGTTTTTAGGCTTTTCACCAAATAGCTAAGGCTGTTGTTTACCAAACTGGGGTGTGCCACATCCCCAGCATTATAGGAATTTAGGTTTTCGTTATCGAGGTAAAGCCTTCCGTTCTCTTCTGCTGCCCGGGAGCCGTTCTTGCCGCCGTGCTGACTTAGCGAGGCCGCCGTCAGCTCTTCCAACCTGCTGCTCTCACAGGCGGGAGCTGCGGCCGGCGGCCGGCATGGCAGGATGGCTCAGTAAGGTCACTGGTTGTTAGATAGGAAATGGAGATTCGGGGCTTTGATGGGGGGTTTAGGCCGTAAGGGAAAGGATGTTGGCAGGGCCCCTCCACGAAGGGGACCCTCGCCTTACATCATTTTCTGTTTCCACATTAGATTTTTGGATGTTTTGCTCTGACCGAAGTGAGTCACGGGAGTAATACCAAGGCCATGCGGACGACCGCACACTACGACCCCACCACTGAGGTAGGTGATACCCGCCCGTCTGTCTCTGGGCTTCGAGCACGTGAAACGTGGTGTTGTCATGTAATGAGACCAGGAAACCCGTCTTTTTACGTGAGTGCAGACTGAGATCTGTCACGCAGAACACTGGAGCTTCGGAGAGAAAGGCTGTGAGATGTGAAACCCAGTCCCACCCGGAAGTCTGTCCTGGTTTGGATTTGGGTGGCATTTGAATGTGGTGAAAGCACGAGCTACCATTTGGTAAAATTTATTTCTTTGTTTACCAGGTTTGGTGTTTGATTTGTAAACCGTTCAGTCTGCTCCTGCTTTGTAGAACAAACAGTAAAGAAGATTCCCTGTGACCCTTGTCCCTCTCTAGCTGTCTGTCTGCATCCCCCTGCCTGTGGCCAGGCTCTTTTGGGCAGTGGCCCAGCCCCTCCGGTCCTGGCACTCCTCCTGCATTCGTGGATTCTCGTGGCACATGTCCGGGGGACCCTGGCGGTCCTTGCTGTCAGAGGGCGCGTGCTCTAGAGGAGGCGAGCCTGTGAACAGATGGGGTCGTGGTGTGTGGGGCGGACGGCAGTGAGGGAGGTGGAGAGGACGGGGCGTGCGGGGGACCTGTGACCTCTGCTGCGCGCATCCTGCGGCCCCTCTCCCATCACTGGCGTCGGGCCCCTTTGCCCCCATGTCTCCCACAGGCCCGCATCCTTCTGCCACTTTCTCACGGTGCTGGGATCCTGGGACCCTTTGGCCTTCACCCGCCTGGCTGGTCGTGTGGTTCGGCAGAGTCCCGTGCAGCAGAGTGAAGCCGTGTCCCGTGTGTCTGCTCAGCACGCGGCCATCGTTCACGGGACGGCGCGGGCCGAGTGTGGGCTGTGTGCCTGCCGTGCTGCAGGCTGGGGGCTTGAGAGGATGAACCCGAGGAGCCCCCGGCAGAGCAGGGACAGTGGAGCAGTGAACGGGGGTCACAGTGGGCGCCCCGCAGGCTGCCGGGCGGTGCCTGGGAGCAGAGCCGAGGGTCAGCCACGCTCTCAGGGCTGAGAGCAGGCCGCGTGGCCTCTTGGGTTCTTACCCGTCATTTAAGCTACGACATACCTTTGTCTGCACCCAGGTCTTTCTGGCTCTCGGCCTTCTCTTTCCTTGGCTCCCGTGCCCCTGGGCTCTCGGTGTAGGGGGGACAGGGGGCTTCCAACTCTGGCACAGAGAGGTCAGTGCCTGGTGGCCTGGGTGGAACGCGGACAGGTAGTTGTTTTTGACCCCGTTCCTCTTGGCGTTTGTCCTTAAGTGCAGATCGGTCAAGATTAGGATCCCCGAGCCTCCCACGGGCCGCGGGTTGTGTTGGTCTAGACAACGGGTATTTGTTGAGCACCTACTGTGTGCTAGAAGCTGCGGTGAGGGCCTGGACTCACAGCGGCGAGCAGGCCGGTGGGACTCTTATGCTGGAGGGGAGATGCCGACGGTCACCGGCGTGGAGAAGCTGGATGTGCCAGGGCTGTGGAGACGCGGGGGGTGAGGAGAGAGTGTGGAGGGTGCGGGGAGGGTGTCTGTGTATTATCTCGTGCAGTAGCACACGTACAGTTTATAAAATCATACACACCACCGGTTACAGAAGGGAATTCTCCCTGTGAGCCCTGCAAGAACAAGGGAAGCTGAACTGGAACCGGCCTCCAGGGGCCTCGGGAATTTATGCGGAGGTGACACGCTCTCCGCTGCCCGCAGGCGCGGTCCATCCAGTGACCAGGACGCCCTCTCCTTGGAGTGTTTCCCGGGCCCTCCATTGGGGCGCCTCCTGGGGGCAGCCCCCAGCCCTGCTTTCCTCTTGCTCTCGTGCTCTGTCCTGCCTCCCCAAGGCCCCGGCTGTGTCCTCGGAGGACCTGTTGCCTCCTGTCTGCTCCTTCTTTAATTCCTGTGCTTGTCTGCCTCGTGCTCCTGGGCTCGTGGGGTGTCATCCCCTCGTCATCTCTCCCAGCCTGTAGGTGGGAGAGACAGGGCGAGCAGAGGGACAGAACGTCATGAATCAGAAGTGGATGAGGGGTCAGGCAGGCGTGAGGCAGAGGAGGGGACCCGTGCCTCCTCCCAAAGGCCGTGTTCAGGGGAGGCTTGCTGGGAAGGTAAACCCTGTCGGGCATTGGCAGCTTCCAAGGTATTTTGCGTATATTTTATTGTTCGACATACTGGTCATCGTTTTCCATAGGAAGGTGCTTCTTTAAGTCGTAAGACCCAGCACGTGCTCTGTTTAAAAGCAGGGCGACCTGTGCCACGCAGGAGATAACCTGCAGCCTGTTCTTGCCTTTGCCTCAAGAGACTTTGAACAGAGAAAATTGAGTGTGTCAAAGAGAGAAAGAAATTCCGCGTATTCCCCAGTCTCCAGCTGTAACTTTAATTTTTTTCCCTCGTGCAGGAACTCATCATACATTCCCCTGATTTCGAAGCCGCCAAGTTCTGGGTTGGCAATCTGGGCAAGACGGCTACGCACGCGGTGGTGTTTGCTCAGCTGTACACGCCCGGGGGCCAGTGCCACGGGCTGCACCCCTTTGTCGTGCAGGTAAGGGCAGGTTTTATCGAGGGGGTGTCTGGCCAGTCTGGAGACATTTTCATCACAGCTGGGGATGGGGTGCTTCTGGCATCTGGGGTCCATACCAAGGGTGCCTTTAACACCCTGTAGTACACACGACAGCCCTGCTGCCAACCCCCGCCAGAAGCCTGACCAGCCCCAAATGTCAGTGTGCTGCCGCTGAGAAACCCTGAGCCCAGGATCAGCTGGGGGAGGATCTCCATCCTCCTGGGGGCCACACTGGCATGGTGGGACGCCTGTCCCCACCCCCCAGGCTCTGGCAGCCGGTCTCAGGGGCTCCAGGAGTCCCGACGTGAAGTCTGACTTGGGGGCTTTCGTGTAGCCCCTTTCTGGGTCACAAACAGAGCTTTGGCCATCGGGGGTGCCTGGGATGGCCGGCCTGTTTCCCGCTGCCAAGGGCGGCTGCAGCGTCCCTGGACTTGGAGCTCTGGGAGGTTCTCCAGGACCTTTCTCTCTGGGCTGACTGGATACTGAATGACACCCTGCTTCCCCCACCCCCAGACCCATTCTGACATTTTTTATTCTCAAAGACTTTTCTGATGGGGGCGGTGCTCTCATGAGAGAAGAAAAGCATCATTTTTTTTTAAATTGAGCTGAAATTCATGTAACATGCAATTAACCATTTTATGCATTTTTAAATTAAATTATTTTCTTGGTCTTGCTGTGTGGCTTGTGAGATCTTAGTTCCCCGACCAGGGATTGAACCCCGGCCCACGGCAGTGAAAGCGCAGAGTCTGAACCACTGGACCACCAGGGAATTACCAAAGTTAACCATTTTAAAGTGAGCAATTTAGTGGCATTTAGGGAATTCACGATGTTGTATCTCTCTAGTTCCAGAGCGTTTCCTTTCTAGAAGAAACCCCGTGCTCATTCAGCACTGCCTCCCTGCCACCCTCCCCAGCTCTGGCAGCCAGTGGCCTGCTTTCTGTCTCTATGCATCTCCCTCTTCGGGATGTTTCATATAAAACGCATCACGCGCTATGTGACCTTTTGTGTCTGACTTCTTTCTCTTCACGTGTTTTTGAAGTTCATCCATGTTGCAGCCTGTCCCAGAACCCCCTTCCTTTTCAAGCCTGAATGATCCATTATGTGGATGGTCCACAGTCTGTGTATGCATTCGTCCTTTGATGGATGTTGGGTGGTTTCACCTTTTAGCTGTTGGGAGTAATGTCACTGTCAACATTCGTGAGCAGTGGCTGTTTGCACACCAGACTTCAGTTCTTCGGGGTATGTACCCAGGAGTGGAATTGCTGTGTCATATGGTCATTCTGTGTTCAATTTTTTGTAGAATCCCGTACTAGTTTCCACCATTTTACATCCCCACCTGCAATGCCGAGGGCTCCAGTTTCTTCACATCCTTACCAACACTTGTTATTTTCCTTTTTTTCCCCCATAACCACCCTAGTGGGTACGAAGCAATATCTGGTTGTGATTTTGATTTGCATTTTCTTAATAACCAACGATGTGGAGCATATTTTCCTGTGCCATTTGCCTATCTTCTTTGTCAAAATGTCTATTCAAATCCTTTGCCCTGTGGAACCAAGCAGGGACTGAGAAAGCAAAGGCTGTTTGCTCAGAGCTGGCTGAGCCGGGGGTCAGCCTTCGTCATTGTTATGGCAGAGACCCAGAGGCAGGCAGAGGCGTGGGCGAGCTTCCCAGTGGAGAAGAGGGGGCTCAGGGTGCCTGACGGGGCTGGGGGCTGGGAGGGTCTAGAAGGGGGGGCATTCCTTGTGACTGGTCAGAGGGCAGGTGGGGCCTTCTGGGGTTGGTCCTGAGTCGGAGGCAGGACAACGATTAGGGAGGCCGTCAGTATTGATCGAGTCCTGGCCGATTGTCCAGCGGTGGCTGTTTGGCCTCCTGGCTTGTCACTAGAGACAGCAGTCTGCCCTCCTGCAGGTCCGACTCCCAGCAGGCTGGCTCCCGGGGCTGGCGGCTGCGGCCCGAGGGTCAGAGCCCTGCTCTCGCACGTGGTCTGGTCATCGTCCAGTTGTAGTATGTTCAGACCCTCAGTTCCTTTCTTAATCGGATTGTTTGTGATTTTTGGTGAGTCGCAAGGGTTCTTTATATATTCTGCATACCAAGCCTTATCAGATGGATGGTGGGCGAATATTTCCTCCTGTTCTAAAATTGTCTTCACTTTCTCGATAACGTCCTCTGTGCACAAGGGCTTGAATTTTGACGACGTCCAGTCGACCCATTTCCCTTTGGTGCTCATGTCCTTATTTTTCAATTTGCAATGAACCCCTGCAGACCAGGTGTACTTTTTGATACCTAAGGCAACCATACACTGTTTCTGGAGTATAGATTTGTACCCGAAGTGAACTTCTTACGGAAATCGGACTTGAATGCAACGTCTTTCAGTGTCTCCGGCTCTTAGATTGTAGAGCTGCGGCGTTCTGGATTCTGTTACACGTTGTGCTTTAAACACTCAGTAGGGTGTTGCGGCCCTCCATCTGACACATCCTCTCTGTACTTAGTGTACCTAGTGCCTATCCAGTGCAGGCTCGAGGGTGGCATGGATCCTGTCCTCGTGGAGTTTACCGTCTACTCAGAAAGAGAGGTTGAAATAAGTCATCCCAAAACTATTTAATTAGAATGTGATATGTGCCACAGGTCATTAGCTGGTAAGCGGAGGGGTATAATTTTTTTTATTGGAAAATTCAACAGGATTAGTTCAATACAGTGTAGTGATTTATGCTATTTAGGTACCAATACTTCTTTTCCTTTAATTAAAAAAGTTTTGTGGGTTTTTTTATTGAGGTATACTTGATTTACAACGTTATTTTAGTTTCAGGTGTACGATACAGTGATTCAAAATTTTTATGGTTTTTACTCCATTTAAAGTTATTATTAAATATTGGCTATACTCCCTGTGCTATACCACGTATCCTTGTAGCTTATTTACTTTATACGTAGCAGTGTGTATCTACCAGAGGGCATAATTTATTGCAGGTTTGTTATATCACATCAGGTGGACAGTCTCCAAATATTATGGGAAACGTTATACGTAATTTGATACAATTTAATACTTTTGAGAAGAGGAGACCATTAACTTAATTCTGGTTTTGACTTTAGTGAGCGTCCTTTCCTTGATTTGAGAGGTTAACATGAAGTTTGTAAGGACGGTGTTATCATTTCTTTCCAGATGAACTGAAAACTGGCATTAGCAGTGTTTTTCTGTTTGATTACTTGAAAATCACTAACTGTTTTTTATATCTCTTCTCCTCTCCATCTTTTTTGTTTTGTTTTGTTTTTGTTTTTGTTTGTTTGTTTTTTTTTTTGCGGTACACGGGCCTCTCACTGCTGTGGCCTCTCCCATTGCGGAGCACAGGCTCCGGACGCGCAGGCTCAGCGGCCATGGCTCATGGGCCCAGCCGCTCCGCGGCATGTGGGATCCTCCCGGACCGGGGCACGAACCCGTGTCCCCTGCATCGGCAGGCGGACTCTCAACCACTGCGCCACCAGGGAAGCCCTCCATCTTTTTTTAAAAACTATTTTTTTCTATTTCATAAGGATTTCAAGAGTTTTTATCTGAATCTTCACTGAGCCTTATTGTTTGTCGCTAGCTTTCGATTTTATTTTATCAGTATTATAAAGTTCAACTAAATTAGCTAACTGTTCCACTGAAAGAAAGAAAAACTAGCAATTCATACAAATAGCTAAATTTCTAATAGTACAAATTCAGTAGCTCTTTAACACGGAGCTTTTTTTCAGCCTCCGTGCCGTTGACATTCGGGGCTGGATAATTCCATGCTGCGGGACCACCCTGTGCACTGTAGGATGTTTAGCGGCATCGCTGGCCTCTCCCCACTGGATGCCTCTAGTACCCGCCACTTATGACGACCCAAAATATCAACAGCCATCGGCAGATGACCCTGGGAGGGGAGGGTGGCGCAATCACGCCTGGTAGGAATCACTAAAGGTCTTTGAGAACGAAACTCCATACTGTCCGCTTAGAGTGCACGAAGCGAGGACCAGTGAGCCAGCTGTCTCTGTGTGTGTTAGTAAGTATATTTACAGGAAGCTCATTTGGGGGAGCAGAGATTTACAAAAGTGATCCACAGCAGGTGTGTGCACAACCATTTTGTCATTTCATTAAAAGCCAGTGGAAAGTCCTCCATCTAAAACGTGACGGGGAAATACCTGGCCTCCTGCAGGCAGCACATACCAATCAGCTCCTCCGCCAGTGTCCTGGGGCCGCCATAACCAAACAGAGCGCCACACACCGGGGGCCTGAAACCACAGAAATTTACTCTCCACAGTCTGGAGGCCAGAGGTCTGACATCAAGGCGTCAGAAAGGCCACACTCCCCCCGGAGGCTCCATGGGAGGGTCCTTCCTATCTCTTCCAGCTTCTGGTGACCCCAGAGTTCCCGGGCTGTGGTCGCTTCCCTCCCGTCTCTGCTTCCGTCTGCACGTGGCCCCCCTCTCTCCATGCCCTCTCCTCCTCTGACTCTTGGAGGACAGCGGTCATTGGATTCAGGGCCCACCCAGGTAACCCAGAGTGACCTCACCTCCAGAACCTTAATTATATCTGCAAGGACCCTGTCTCCCAACAAGGTCACATGTTTGGAGGACACTTCAACCCACGGCAGCTACACAGAGGGAGCCTGTGGCTCGGTCGCTGGGGGTTTCGAACATTTTCATCTTGATTTTCGTGTGGTCATAAGCGTTGCCATCTGTGGTCTGTGCAGATTCGGGACCCGAAGACCCTTCTTCCCATGCCAGGGGTGATGGTTGGCGACATCGGAAGGAAGCTTGGACAGAACGGTCTGGACAATGGGTGAGCGCACACTTGGTACTTGACGGTCACTCCTCCAGGGGTCGTTCCTCAAGGCTGCCTGCTCAGTACGTCCTACCTGTGAGCCCACCGGCTCCCTCAGCGCTGTCCCCGTACCCTCCCAGGCTCCTGCGGGATGCGCCTTACCTCTGCACTTGAGATCATGTTGGAAAGGGCCGGGTCCTGTTTGTACTCCAACCTCAGGAGACATAAGTGGCCCCAAGTGCAGAGCACACAAACTTCTCCCCGGCAGGTGGCCGCTCCAGCTCTCAGGCCAGGCTCAGGCTGGACACCCGTATCCCGTGGGGGCCTCAGCCTGTGACCCGGGCCCTGCTCCCCGTCCTGGAGCTCAGGCACCCAACAGCTGTCCACGCTGGTTCTGGGGACAGAGCCGGGTGCCGGGTAGCGGGGGCAGAGTGGCCTGAGATGAGACCTGGGCTTGGGGAGCTGGAGGGGGGCAGGTGGGCAGGCGAGCCACGTCAGGAAGGGCCTTAGAGTCTCCCTGAGGGATTCCCGGGCTCATTCATGGCATGAGTTTTGGAATCAGATCTGGGTTCATATCCTGGGTCCACCTCTGCCTCTTTGTGTTATCTTGACCAGCTTTCTTGGCCGTCTCCTCCTCTGTAAGGTGGGCATGATGTCCCCAAGCCAGGCCCTCGCGTAGCCCTGCCTGGGGGCCAGGCATGGTCTTACCGACCTTTGCTACCTGTCAGTGCTCTCTTCACCTGCGCCTGCGGGCGGGACTCACATGCCATCTCCCGGAAAGCCTGGCTGAGATGCTTTGTGCCCCTCTGTTCTCCTGAGATGCTTTCTACCTGGGGGGGGAAGCACAGCCGGGGGTTCCTTAGTCGTGTACCTCACGCTGCGTCTCGGGAACGTTTGCATACCTGCCGCTTCGTCGGGGGGGGCAGAGAACAGAGGAGCCTGCCTCGCCGTAGTTTGAGCCCGCTGCTTATCCTGACCCCGGTCGTTTTGAGTGTAAATCAGGAGGCAGCAGCTCATCTCCGAGAAAGAAGCTGGGCCAGGTGGTCTCCCACCACCCTAAGCGTGGAGAAACCTCCTTTCAGCTGTCCCCCCTCCCCAGAGGTAGGGGAGCTGGGGGCACGGAGAGTGTCTCAAACCTCTGCTTGGACCCTCAGAACAGGTGGGGCCCCAGCCTGTACCAGAGAGGGCGGGAGAACCATAGATTTTCACTCTGTGTAGCTGGAGGAGAAAACGGAAGGATGTTGCTAAAAAGTGAAACCAGAAACACACACACACACACACAGCCCTTCTAACCTATACCTGTCTAGAGCTTTGAGTGCCTCTCTTGCTGGCCTGTGAAAAGAGCCTGTTAATTAACGCTGGAGCCTGGGGTGGGGGGAGGAGGGTGTCAATTCCCTTCCATCACTGCTTTGTGCGGGTGCATGGGCCCCCCCAACAGGGACGGGCCATGTGGCCTCTGGTCCTTGGGACAGGGGACGCTCTGCAGCCCTCAGAGCGAGGCCGCCACGCGGCTTGGAGTGTTTGAGAAGATGGACCCGATCTGGCTGAGGTGAGGCAGCATCAAGGAGGACCATGCGGGAGGTGGAGGTGGAAGGCCCCGTCTTGCTCTGGGCCCTGAGCACGAGCGTCCTTTTATTAGATCCACGCGTCCCATTGTGGGACCCGGAAATGCGTGTACGGTGACTCCATCTGTGGAAGGGTCTGTGCTCACACGTAAGGCCGGGCAGGTGTGTCTCCAGGCACCTGGCGGTGGGAAATGACCCTCCAGCTGTGAACAAGTGCTGCTGGGTCACTGCTGTCCAAGGAAGGCCTTGGGTGAGGTCACAGATCTCCAGTCCCCGTTCATTTGGTTTTACAAGTTAGAACCTTTAACACTGTTTGGGGACATCCGTGAAAAACTCTGCCCTTGGTCCTCCCAAATCAAGTCCCGTTTTATTTATTTTTATTTATTTATTTTATTTTTTAACATCTTTATTGGAGTATAATTGCTTTACAATGGTGTGTTAGTTTCGTTTCAGAGACTGTTAGTCCCGTTTTAGAGACTGAGTATTTGTTTCTTATTGCGATGGTCCCAGGGAGTCACACCAGCGTAGCAAAGGCCCTCCTAAATAAACATGTCACGTCCGACGGGCAAAGCCCTTGTGAGACTCAGCAGTGCCAGCCCGGTGCCGCCAGGGGGCAGCATCGTGACTACCCTGAAGCCGGCTCAGAGCGGCCCCCCCAAACCAGAGTCGCCGTTCCCATGGGGCCACTTGGAGGCCGGCAGACAGGACGTGGAAGCAGCCGTACCCTGAGCCTTTGAAGGTTCAGTGGTGCCTGGGGTCCCTCGGCCGCTGGGCTGGGGCTGGGATGTGGGCCAGGGGCGGTGACGCAGGCAGTGCCCGCCCCGCCAGAAAAGCAGCTGTCCCTGCCAGCTTCGGGGCGCACGCCCAGCAGAGGGCGCGCGGGTCTGAGTCCCTGGCTTTCCTTGTTTGCAGGCTGCTTGCAGAGCAGGGTCGCGATTGAGATCTTTTATTTTGAAAAAGTGGTTAACAGTTCATAGGTAGATCACAGGGATTCGTGAGTCTGTGGGAAGACTGTCTAGAAATCAGAGGCAGACGTAAATTGCACGGATTACTTTTAGCCAAATAACTCTAAAAGCAAATCAGTAAAGATCCCTCAAGTGAACTGTTGAGCCTCACCTTCAAGGCGGGCTGCAGGGCATCCTCACACTTGCTCAGAGGTGAGGTGGGGAAGCATCTCCAGAGCGGCTGGGAGGACGTCCCATGAGGCTCTGGGGCCCAGGTGGGGCTGGGGCATCAGTGAGAGGCCCCAGGAGCAAGGAGGCCACTGGGACGTGGAACGGGTGGCCCAGGAGGAAGGGGGTGCAGGGCCTGGGGCAGGGTCTGCCGCCCGCAAGCCCCCCAGCCCTGCCGTATACTCACACTATCGTGTCACACGCACACCCCGTGTCAGATACGACCTATGCGGCCCCCCGCCCCCCTGCCCTCTGGGGACACTGGGGATTCTGACCAGGCTGGCCAGCATCGACTGTTTCTGGAACAGCCTTTGCCACATGGCAGTGCTCAAAAGAGAATGTGTAAAATTTTGATTTCAGTTAAACTCCAGTGAATAGTTTTGCGACTATAAATATATCCAGCCTTGTTCCATCCCTGTGTGGCGGGGAAGGGTGAAGATTTTCCACTCCTTGAAAAGGGCGCTCTCAGTTGACAGCATCAGACTTGGAAAAGCATTCCTCGCCTTTCAAGTGATGAGCTGGACCAGACCAGGGACTTCGGCACTGAGGCCGGGCGTTCTAGAGACGTGGGTCCCGGGGCCAGTCAGAGCCGCCCCACAAAGGCCCCGATGAGTGGCTCCCTCCAGGCAGTGCCTTCGGGTGCTCGGGCCGGGCCTGCGTTTCACACGCCGGAGGGAGACCCTGGCCTGGATGCTGCTGGGGGCCTGGGGGCCTCACGTGCAGAAATCCTAGTCGCTTCCGAAGGAATTTGGGAGGGGCCCCTCCAGCCGCCCCACGCCCAGCCCCGGGTCTCAGCTCTTCCCCAGGTGCACTGGCTGTGTCACCCCTCAAGGCTGCCCCGGGACTCGGGGTTCTGTGGAGGTGCACCAGCGCCCTTAGGACGATGTCTCGTCGCTGTTGATTCATCCCCGGTACTTATTACGTGTCTTCTAGGTGCCAGGCATGTGGCCCCCTTATAACAGGGTCACTAACGGCCACCGAAAGGCAAGTGGCTCAGTGGGCAACGTGGCCAGGACCGCCATCTAATGGTGCTGTGGGACCCCTGGGTGCTCACCTCGGGGCAGGGGTGGGAATCGTGGCAGGCATCTTGGAGGAGGGGGCAGCGCTCTGAGGGCCGTCGGCCCCGAGGCCAGGAGAGGGCCTGGCCGGCTTGATGGTCACAGGCAGATGTTACGGGCTGTGGGCTACGAGGAGGCCGGTGCTGTTGCAGCAGCTGACAGGGGTCCCGTCGGAGGGCTTACCACGTTTCCCTACGGGTTTAGATTCTGTTGGTCCCAGGGATCCAAGATTCTCGTGCCGGGTGTGACCATTCCGAGCTGAGGTTTAGACAGGCCTCTGCTCCCGTGTGCGGGACAGGGGGACAAGGTGGGGTCTGGAGAGAGCCAAGGGGGAGGCTGTTGCAGGAAATGGGACAAGAAGAGGCACAGACCATCAGGACACGGCCCGGGGTGGGGGTAAGCACCGTGGCTCGGGACGGTGCCTGGGGAGCCACGCAGCCTGGGGTCCAAGGAGGAGCTGGGGGGTGGTACGCGGAGCTGCCCCCCTTCTCCGCAGGGCACTGCTCTTCTCCCCAGAGCTGCTTCCTGTGGTTCAGTAAAAGAATGTTCCGTGTGACATCGAAACTGCTTAGAAATCAGATAAGGCGCTGTCGGAACTATTGATATTTTAAGATGGTTTGGGTTTTTTTGCACAGTGTCTGTACCACCCGTGACTTCACATAACCTTGTTCCCTGCACTGTCGTGAGATAGATTTTCCTTCCTGACAACCACAGAAAACACCTTCGATTACTGACACACGCGTGATCCCCAGGGATGCGTGTGCATGCGTGTTCTCAGCTGCTCAGGGGAGCTGACTCACCTGCCTCTGGAGCCCTAATGGGATGGTGCAGTACTCCTGTTTGACTCGGGACGTTTAAAACCTCAGTTTGCTGACTTTGTCACTCCGTGTGTGGACTCTGGTGCGGGATTCAAGTGTGAGAACCAGAGATTCTCATCTTTACGAAAACGGTCCCGCCTTTTCTGCTGAATGACCGGTCCCGGGTGTTCTGGCCGCAGCGAGCGAGGACGTTTCCTCCCAGCGTGTAGTGTAGCGGGAGCCCGCGTGCAGCCCTGAGGCCCGAGCGCCGGCGGTAGTGGGGGTGGGGGCGCTCGCCTGCATCATTACCAACAGACGGCCGCTTTACCTCACGCAGAGCCCATCACTCACACCACCTTTTGCTGACGCCTGCTCTTTTGAATAGAAAAATTGGTTGAAATGTCCTGTCTACTGGTGCCTTCTCTCTCCTGCGTTTTGTTGTGTTTTGTTAGGTTTGTTTTTTTGGTCTTTGGGGGATTATGTCACCTTTTGAGTTGTCCTTTGCTTTTTTTTTGTTTTTTTGCGGTACGCGGGCCCCTCACCGCTGTGGCCTCTCCCGTTGCGGAGCACAGGCTCCGGATGCGCAGGCTCAGCGGCCGTGGCTCACGGGCCCAGCCGCTCCGCGGCATGTGGGATCTTCCCGGACCGGGGCACGAACCTGTGTCCCCTGCATCGGCAGGCGAACTCTCAACCACTGCGCCACCAGGGAAGCCCTGTCCTTTGCTTTTATTTGACTGAGTTTCAGGAGGGAGAGGAGATAAGCCCCGGGGGCCGACCCCAGTTTAACCAGAAGTGCTGTGTCTCCACACAGATTTGCCATGTTCCACAAGGTCAGGATTCCTCGCCAGGACCTGCTGAACCGCTCAGGAGATATCACCCCCGAGGGCACCTACGTCACCCATGTTAAGGTACAGCTGCCTCCAGGCCCACAGGACACCCACCCCCTGTGCTCAGAGGGGGACAGTCACCACAGGAGCCCGTGGCCCGTGCAAACCTGTCTAGGATCAGGTCCCAGTGCCGCCAACAGGGACGAGAGTGCTTGGGTCAGCCACACCCCCAGGGCTCCGAGCACGATGACCTCCCCCCACCCCACCCCTGCCAGCCCCCCCGGCATTTCAGTCAGGGAGGTTGCCCCCACCGGTGCTGTTTCCCACCAGGGGCTTAAGAGTGAAAGGGTCGCCTGGTGGGCTGTGCACCAACGGGGGTGACGGTGTCCTCTGGTGTCTGACCACGCCCCTAAGTTCACTGAGTGTAGACATGCAGTGGCACTGGACGCTTTCCAGACGTGGTCGAGTCAGGGTAGCTGAGCCCTCCCGGGCCTGAACCCACAGCCGGGATGACGCGTCCCGGGAGCACGTGTGCGTGTGAGAACCCCACCTGACATTGAGCTTCGGCTGCTTGGAGCCAAGAGAACAGGGCTTCAGCGCGTGTGACGGGTGCCTCCAGATGATGAAAGAAGCTAGAGGTGACACAGGAAGCCGTTCAGGAATGGAAACAGCGATATACAAAAGGAATGAAAAGGACAAAAGTAAGTCACTGAGAGAACCCAACAGATGGGGTACATACAGCGGGAGAGTGAATTAGCGGTTGGAAATCAGAGTGAAGGAGGCGGCAGGAAAGGATGGAGAGAACCACGGAGACAATGTTTTGCAGAAACGATGAAGATAAATGTCTCTAAAGTAAAGAAGGAAGGAAACCTTGACGGAGGGGCCCATACAGGGGGAGTCAGGGTCTCCCATCCCACACTCACTGCAGAGAAATGTCAGAACCTCGTAGAGAAGATGCTGAGGCCTTCCAGAGAGAGGGTGCTGAGCCAACTCCCACGGAATAAAAGCCCCTTGAGTCTCAGAGTTCTCCGGCACGACGCCGAACGCGAGAAGTCAGTGAGATGACATTTCAAACCATTGAGGGAAAGCCACTGTAAACATGCTTCTTCTAAATCCAACCGGACTGTCATTCGTGCATGAGAACATAACAAATATTGTCGGCCAGAGGCTTGACACGTTGCCACACAAATACCAGAGTGGACATAATTTTGGAAGAAAAGTCCGAATAGTAAAATAAGTGAACCCAGGAGAAGCAGCAGGGGGTAAGGGAGGTGCACGTGATCGGATAACTTGGTGAACCTTACGGGCAGATGTACGCACACGCCGCCGACGGCCCTTAAAGCACAAGCCACTGTTGGAAACAGCGATAAGCGCGTTGCGATTTACAACACGTTAAAAATAGACGCACACGGGCAATTACCCAGTTTCAAAGATCACAAAGGACAGCAGCTGGCCATCACACCGCTTAGAATGGTGGTTTGATGGACCGAGAGGAATCCCAGGTGGGGGGTGAGGGGGTGGGGGAAGGAGCCTGGTTTATAAACGAAATGTCGGTGCCAGCCATGCCCTCTGCTTCAGCTCCTGCGTCGCTCTCGGCACGGCTGTCAGGTCCTCGGTGGGACTGGGAGCGGGGCTTCGTACTTCCAGGTGGCCGTTTGCAGGTCTCTGCAGATGGTGCCCCGTCCTCCTGTCACTAGGCATCCTCCGTGCCTCCCCACAGCATCCCGTGATGGGGACGCCGGCACCCGTGCAGCTTGGCCTCCTGGGCCCAGGGGCCTGTGTCTGGGGCGCCCTGGGGGCAGGGCCTGGAAGTGTTGAGTGAATAGAGGAGCGCCCCTCCACATCTGTGCCCGTCCCCAAGGCAGCCTGCGGGTCCCAGGTCCGCCCTCACCTGCCTTCCTCCGGCAGGACGCCAGGCAGCACTTCAGCGAGTCCCTGGGCAGCCTGTCCTCCGGCCGGGTCGCCATCGCGGGCATGTCCGTCGTGAACCTAAAGCTGGCCGTGTCCATAGCTCTGCGTTTCTCAGCCACCAGGCGTCAGTTTGGACCAACAGACGAGGAGGAAGTACCGGTGCTGGAGTATCCGATGCAGGTACAGCTTCCGCAGGCGTGAGTTCACTTTCTTCCTGCTCCGCGTGCAGACACACCTCCTCTCTTAGGTCGCCGCACCTGGGTTGCTGGTTGCTGATCAGGTCTCTTCAGGAGTTAACAGAGGGAGTGACAGACACTCACAGGGAAGGAGTGCGGCGTCTGGGGCCACACGTGGTCTCGATAAATGGTCTTTAGTTGAACAGGAGTGTGTATGACCAGCAGGGGGCGCTCTGGTGAGGCCGAGGGAGCAGGTGTGCACACTCATCCCACCTGCGGGACCCTGAACGTCCAGGCCGCGCTCCAACGCGCTCGTCCCATCCCTGGGAAGTGACCCCAGGACACAGCAGCTGAGGGTGTAGCACTGTTCGTGGTGACGTCCTTTAGCAGAGGGGACGCTTGCATTCCGGGTCCTCCGAGACGAGGCAGCCCTCGATGGCAAAGGTGCAACTCAGGCTGAGCATCACCTGGACGCCGGGGCGGGGCGGGGGACGCATTTTATCACAGCGAGCCCCCACCGGTGCCCCTGCGTCCCCAGCCCTTCTGTGCGCACCATGCAGCTGCCCTGCACACCAGGTGGGCTGGGGATCCAGGTGGGTCCCCGAGGCTCGAGTCAGTGGCTCCTGCCAGAGTCAGCAGCTAAATCAGACCCAGGTCTTGGCCAGTTAGGCCTGAGCAAAGGTGTATCTGAGCGAAAGTTTCAGGAAATTGTAACTGAATCGAAGTTGTTTCTTTTAACACTTCTTTTACTATGGCCGTGAACCTGTTTTAATACCAAATAAACAAGTAAGGAAAAGCCCAGTGCCTGGTTCATTCTGGGCTGGCACGCAGTGTCCACCACACCACCAACCCCGTGGCCTTGGTGAGGTCACGGCACGTCTGACTGTCTGGGCATCAGGCCTGGCTCAGCGGTCACGAGAGCCCACCTGAGCCACATGCTTGGGCTCCTGACCCCAGGTCCACCCCCTCCCTGCTGTGTGTCCTTGGGCAAGCCACTGAACCTCTCTGTGCTCTAGTTTTCTCCTTTGTAAGTTGGGACTGCTGATAATACCTCTCTGTGAGTGGCTGTAAGGATTAAATACGTTAGTGCATGAAAAGCAGTTGGCACCGTGACCACACCCAGGAAACGGCAGGTGACCACAGTGCTGACGGTGGCACCTGTCTCCCAGGTCCTTTCAGGCTCCGCCCCCTCCATCCATGCAACAGCGGATGTGCGCTGGTGAAAGAGACACCTTCCCTTGGCTCTCCATGAGCCTGTTTCCCCGTCTGGCTCTGGGGGTGGTCGCTTCATTCCCCGTAGGCTCCCAAAGCACAGGCATCGCCGGGTGGGCCCCGCACTCGGGCACGGCCGCCTGGCTTTCTTAGTTCTCTTGTAGATCAGCATTTGCTCTGGCTCAGGGGTCATGTGGATGGGAGAGCGGTGAGGGGGCCGTGCAGGGTGGTGCACGCGGCACAGTTTCTCCTTGAGTGGGGTCGTCAGGGTGGTGCGGGAGACCTGGCCACACTGGAAGAGCGTCGGGGGGCAGGCCTCACGGGGGTGGGTCCGGGAGACGTGCAGGACCTTCTGCAACGAGTGGGGACGGTGGGCAGTGAGTTCCTGGCGCTCCAGTCCCGTCACCCACCCCGGAAGGCAGGCGGGCCCTGGGGGCACTTGGAGGTCTCCAGGCAGGGATTTGTCTGTTTCAGCAATGGCGTTTACTTCCGTACCTGGCCGCGGCCTATGCCTTGGACCACTTTTCCAAATCTCTCTTCCTGGATCTGGTGGAGCTTCAGCAAGGCCTTCTGGGGAAAGACCGGAGCGCCAGGCAGGTGAGGGTCTCCGCTTTTCTCCACAGCGTTTATCATCCTTTAAATTTCACTGGTGTTGGACAGCACAGATTCAGCCTTTCTTTCAAAACAACCTCGGTGCCTGGATTCGCGGGGACGGAGGCTCTGTCCGACTTGACCCGTGGACTGTGTCCTCTCGGAGCCCTCGCTGCGATGGGAACGTGTCAGGCACGTGTCCACATTCCCGATTCTCAAGGATGTGCTGACACGTCTCCTGGTTCCCGTCTGTGAGTTCAGCTGCTGTTCTCCTCTTGAGAACATGATGCTTTTGCAAAATCCACATTACCGGCCCCTCAGTCGATTTCACGGTTCTGATCCCTTTGTAAACAACCCGACAAAGGTCTGAACCCAGCTGACTGGATTTGACTTGACAGGCAGGCTTTGCTCCAGAAATGAGCGTGCAAATCCACTGAGACCAGCCCCTTCGTAGAAAGGGGTCCTCCGCTAATTTCTGTGTGGACGGTTCATGAGTTGTTTTTTTCCCCCCTTACGCTGCCTCCTGGGCAGCGGTGAAATGTGAATCACACCAAGGGCGCCTGAAAACTGGTTAGGAACGCTGCAGATCGGGGTTACGTACCACGCCCTGAAAAGCCTGTATCAAATTAGCACGTTTTGGAATATTCAGCGTAAACATCCAGGAGCCAAGGGGGGGGGGGGGGGGGGGGGGGGGGGGGGGCGGTGGCGGGGGGTTGCCGGCAGCGTGCACTGCTGAGCAATCAGGCCGACAGCGACACCGTGACCCTGAAGACCGTTTCATCAGGAGTGCAGGGTTACGCGTGTTGTTTCTCCCAAGCGTGAGTCATTGAAACTTTTGCCAGCTGACGATGGAGTTGTCCTGTTAAAAATGTCTTGAAGTGTCATCGAGCTCTGTTCTTTCTGAAACTCAGTGCTTCAACCCAGGTACAGGTTATAGAGTAGCCCTTCTTTGAAGTTGAAAATGCTGGTAAAACACATCACGTTATTTAGCGGGTGTGTGTGTGTGTCTTTCTTGTAATTATTTGCATTGAATATCGAGTCGAGGCGAAAGAGTATTTACTAGACGTGTTAAGGCTGGGAATGCTGGCTGGGCGCTCCGCGCAGTGTGGACCGAGTGGCCATGTCTGTGCAGTTGTCTGGGGCCGCCTGCCACCCTCTCCCCTGGGGGCAGTGTCTCGGCACCGCCTCCCAGCCCTTGGGTTTCTTCTTAGTCTCCGCTGCAAACTTCGTGTAAACGGAGTCATAACGTTACGCTCTTCTGCGATCAGCCTTCCCCGCTCCCCCGCGCTCCCACCCCGTGTTTACCGGCCAGGCAGAGCTGTGGTCGTTTATTTTCACTGTCATGAAGTTGTGTGACTGTGCTGCAGGGTATCCATGTTTACTTGAATCCTGTTTTTTTAAACTAAAATTGGGTTTCTTTCCTTTGTAGTTGTCGGGTACCTCGGATTAGACTGGAGGGGACATAAGCCTCTGAGGCTGTGCTTGAACTGACCCCTGACCTCTGGGGTCGGAGCCTTTTTTCACCTGTTCTCGTTGGCTTCTCTCTCCCAAGGCAGAGCTGGGACGCGAGATCCACGCCTTGGCGTCGGCCGGCAAGCCCCTGGCCTCGTGGACGGCCCAGCGCGGAATCCAGGAGTGCCGGGAGGCGTGTGGAGGACACGGCTATCTGGCCAGTAGGTTTTGGGGACATGTGGGCTGGTCTTCTGTCCTCTCCCGCACCATGTGGCTCACGGCCAGGGGTCGGCAAACGACAGCCTGCTGGCCAAAGGCTGTCTCTGTGGGTAAAGGTTTTTGTGAATAAAGATTTGTTGGCCCCCCGGTCATGCCCATTTGTTTACACACTTCCCGTGGCCGTGTTCCCGCTCCACCCGCCCAGCTGAGCCGTCTCAGCAAAGCCTAAAACATTTACTGGCTGGAACTTTCCAGAGCAGGTTTGCCAACCCCTGCCCTAGTCCAGTCCCTCGGCTCGCCGCCACCCGATGTTCCTCGGTCGAAACCCGGGTGTCACGAAGCAGCGTGGAGACCGAAAACCGGAAGAGGAAGGAGCTTATCTGTTCATCTAAATTGGAACTTTTTAGTTAATGGCTTTGGCAGTAAACTGGCACTAAGTTTTGTTCCGAAGAAAAATTCTGAAACTTAGAAAAAGAGAGTTTGCTTTTATTGACACTGGCAGCTGTTCGGTCATTTGGTGGATGGTGGAGAGAGGGGGAGACCGACAGCCCGGGACCAGATCCCGGCTCTGCCGGTCACGGGCTTCATAGCCGCAGGCAAGCTGCCCACCCTCACTGCCCCTCAGCTTTCTTCTCCATAGAATGGGACTAATGATAGGATAGCACAACGGGGGGTTTTGCAACGAGTAAGTGAACTAACCCACATGAAGGGTCTAGCACAGTGTCGGCATAGGGCGTGTGCCCCGTCATTTTGGTCTGTTATTATTATCATTATTATCGTGGTCGTCATCATTATTGCAGCTTACCTGCCTAACTCCCCGTGTGCTAGTCTCTTCAATAACTGATTGGTTAAAGTCTGGTTACTCAAAGAAGGCAACAACAGAGCTGGCAGAGACCTTCTTGACAGTTTATTCCTCCGGAAGCCTTTTAGGAGCTTTTAGTAACCGGGATGTGTCCCAGTTACTCCTCGTGCGGGGGCAGCAGGCAGGGGGGCCCCTCCCCTCCTCCACACTCCGCGTTTACTGACGTGTGGGTAACTGTGGGGCTGCAGACGTTACTCATCCATGTGTTTTGTCCTCGGTGCAATGCTCTTTGTAGTATTTGTTTGTTGTTATAGCTCATATAGAGACGCTATAAATAGTTTAGAAGGAGGAACTTGAATCACGCAGCCCTTCGGACAACAAAAATGACTAAAGGAAGTGTCATCACATAATACAAGCAGGGCTGAAGCCAGTGAGGCCCAACTCAGCAGGGATAAATGTAAAGCCGTTTATCTAGATTTAAGTATGCGTTGCAAATCATTTCTCTAAGGGCACTCTTAGCCCTTCATGTTCAGTGGTCTAACTGTGGCATGGGCAGCAATTCAGAGGAAGACGATCAGGGTGTCATAGGTGACCACAAGCCTCGTGTCTGCTGCCGAACATCTTACACCCTCTTGGGCTGTTCATAGCAATACGTGAGTGTGAGAAGTCAGGGTCCTACCCTTTCTCCCATCTCAGCCTCACGTTTGGAGAACATTCTCCGTCAGAGGATGGAAACCTAGGTGGTGAAGATCTGGGAAGCATACTTTATAAAATCTGCAAAGGAATTGGGTTATTTCGCTGGTAGGAAAGACAAGAGAAAAATGAGAGTTGTCTTCAGATATTTGAAATGTCTCGTGTCCAAAGAAGGGTTCCTTCAGTTGGAAAAGGAAGAAGGGCACCCTCCCGCCGCTCAGGTAGTCAGCTCTGTCAGTGACCCCACTGGAGGGCGCTTTGCCAGGTGACCTGAGAGGCTCACGGTAGGGACAGGGATGCTGATGCCAGCGGATGCTTCTTGAGCGCGGCACTGGGGCTTCACGGGGAGCCACCCGCTTCTCTTGCCCGGGGACCTCGCGGGTGTTACCGATATGTCCTTAAAGAGGGAGCAGCTGGATGGAGAGGGCACACCGCGGGTCAGGGGTGGAGTTGGCACTGGGAGCAGGGCGGGAAGTGCTTCATCCCGTCAAGCCGGACCTGGGACCTCAGAGTCCCAGGTGGCAGCTGGGGGTTGGGGGGCACTTCTCACATGTGCACCCCCAGTGACGAGAACGCTGGGGCCTCCTTGCAGTGAACCGTCTGGGAGACCTCAGAGATGACAACGACCCGAACTGCACGTACGAAGGCGACAACAGCGTCTTGCTGCAGCAGACCAGCAACTACCTGCTTGGCCTGCTGGTGCGCCGGGACCAAGGTGAGGAGGCTGGCGCCCTGCAGCTCCGTTGGGGGCGGGAGGGTGAGGTTCCCAGGCCCCCTTGAGTTAGCTCTTCTGTCAGGATGGACTCTGGGTTTTGCAGGAAGGAAATGTGTGATCAAGTGGGGACGGACCAGCTTCTGAAGTGATGGGCTGGGGCAGGTGGGGTCCTTCTGCCGGACATCCCCTGGGGTGGGGGTGGGGGGGGTCCCTGGCTCTCCCGAGTCACTGGCTGTGCTCCTAGGCGGTGCCCGCATCGAGAGCCCGCTGAAGACCGTGGACTTTCTGGAAGCCTATCCCAACCTCCTTGGCCACAGGTTCGAGGGTTCCAGCCCTGAGGACTGCTTGGACTCCTCAGGTAAGTACACTCCCTCCGTGTCTCCAGGGTGCACTGTGCGTGGCAGAAGCTGGAAGGGCAGCCCATCTGCCAGAGAGCAAGGGGTGCTGGGTCTGCTCCTGGCCCCCCACCGTGTTAACGGTTGTGACTTTAATCGCAAAAACCGCTGTCGAGGTGCTGTGTGTTCCACGGAACGCTGTTAGCAGAGAGCCTTTGGCGTGGCAGGAGGGCACCTGGCTTTACAGAGTGTCTGTGTCCCCCGGGGGCGGGTCGCTGGGTCCTCCAGGTGAAGGAGCCGCCCCCTCCCTTACTCGGAGGATGGAGAGCATGTGACACATCGCAGCATCAGCGGCTGTGGGCACTGGGCGTGCCGTCTCTGGGGGACCCCGCCGGGCTGCACCGCTGCTCACGTCTCCAGGAGAGGAGACCGCGGCTGCCCAGTGCACCCCAGTGCATGTCAGCGGCCAGAGCAGGCGTCAGACCCGGGCTGGGCTGACTTGCCAGCCGTCTCTCCTCCATCTTCTTCATCGCCATCATCATCCAGAAACACTGCTGCTGGTAATTGCTTCGTCCCCCTCACCGCACTTTGTTACAGCTTTTCTCACAACAACACGCCTCCTTTATCTCCCTTTTTAAAGTGCTAAGAGGACGCAGGGACACGCTTGAAGATCTCTTTCTGGCGCTTACAGAGCTCCCCAAATGTTGCTCCAGGAAGCCCCTGGAAATGACTTAATCATTCTAATAACATCAACCCCACCGGAATGTTTCCCCCTAATACCGTCCCCCGCTGTAAAATCGGAACGTAAGCACGTGGTCTGCCAGCTTCAGGAGGTGTCCGCTACGCCCGCTGTGCCCCTTCCCCGCTCGCTGGAGCTGTGGACGCAGGAGCTGTGTTGCGCGCCGGCCATCAGGAAGCACGCCAGGGCGGCGTCATCTGTTTTTCCTGTGGGTGCTCTAATTTCTGCTCGTTCCAACAAAGTGAAAACATTTTCTGGAGCAAAGAACGCAAACAAAATTCATTTGACAAAAGGGGCTTGGCATCCAACACTGACGATCGGCAGCCCACAGCCAGCCGTTCGTCTCCAGGGCATTCGATCACGAAATCCCACATCTCGGGGCCGGCCTTTGTCTCAGCTGCATCTTTGGTAAAAAGTCCATAAATGACATATGACCCTGGGGCTCTGTAGGGCTGGACACTCAAGACCGTTCCAGTATTGAGCAAGGGCTGTCTGCAAGGTCAGGAGATTTTTCCTTCAGGGATTAGAAGGTTTATTTGGAGAGGGAGGGGCCGGGTGGGGCAGCTCTCTGTCTGCTTCCTCTGACTTATGTGCTGAGGATGGGTTTAACAAATGGTCCTGAGTGTTGAGGAGCTGCACGTCGCTTAATAACTGAGGCCCAGTTTTTTCCTTTAGTTGGCTTATTTGCAAAAATATTAAATAATTGGAGTTCAGCGTGTTGGCTGCTCTGACCATTGTGTATATACACAGGACAGTAGGGTTGTGTAGCATCACGTGTTCAGAGGGGTACATGGTGCGGTCAGCACACCGCCCAGAGGTTGGGAGCTCAGGGTCTGCAGTCAGCTGTGTAACCTCGAGCTAGATGCTTAACCTCTCTGAGCCTCAGTTTCCCCTGTAAGGTATCAGGAGGGAATGCGGTACCCCCCGCCCTCGTGGGCGGCTCACCGCCATGAGCTGGGGCCCTCCCTTGGGAATGGTGGGTGCAGAGTGACCCCTGCAGCGTGAGCTTAGCTGTTTCCCAGGAAGGCGGCTTGCAAGGTGGGTCTTGGAGGTTCAGAGCGGTGTGTTTGGGTAGCAGTCAGCCACACAGGAGCCGTGGGGTGGGCATGGTGGGAGAGCAGGTGGCTCCCACACCTGGGGCTGTGTGCCAGCCGAGGATCTGGGGCCAGGTGGCCAAGCCTTGCTTTCTGGGGCGCACCTGGGCCAGAGCCCCACTTTGGAAGGCGTGCTCTGGTGCCGATGCAGAGCAAGGCTGGACTCGGGAGACCAGCCAGGAGACCAGAACCTGGGCAGGGGCAGCACAGGAGAGAGTGACGGGAGCTGGGTGAGGGCAGGGGGGATGGTCGGGGGGATGGTCAGGTGGAACGTTCGATGGAGGGCCAGGTGAGAGACCCCCCGGGGGGTGGGTGCTGGTGAAACTGGGAGTTCAGGAGTCCCACGTTGAGGGCCCGGTGGGCGTGTCGGGGAGCCCCGACACTGAGAGGCCACGCAGGTGGGCAGACCTCGGAGTGATTGACCGTAGTGACAGTGGCCGCCCTGGGAGTGCGCCTGGGTTGGGGGAGCCGGCATGGGGAGACAGGCAGCGCTCAGGGCCTTCGAGGGGTGTAGGGGAGCAGCCGGGGAGCCCCGAGGAGGCCATTTGTGACCCAGGAACCTGGGAGGGACTTGAGGACTGAAGTTGAAGCAGCATTTGTCTTGGGCCTTCAGCAGCCCCCAAGCAAGAGCGTTACCGCCCACCTGTGCCGGTTTCCCCCAGTTTGTTCCCGATGACTCCTCACGCCCAGACGGACTCTCCGAGTGGCCCACACGCCGGCCGGCTGTGATTGTACCTTTTGTGTGCTCGCTGGGGGCTCCGCCCTTCTGTGTGAACACAGAGCAGTGTGACCCGCTTCTCTGTGAAAAACTAAAAGGGCTAAAAGTGGAATTTCTAAGAAAAACGTTCCAGCAACTCATGTATCAAGCTTGCTTCTCACTCGGAGCACAGAGCAAACCGTGAACTGGTTGCTGACGTCAGCACGGGGGCTCCACGTGGTGCGGGACCCTCGGGGAGCCGGGTCACTTCTGCAGAGGGTCGCCTGCCCGGGCAGCGTCTGGGAACAGTCCGGAGGAGCCGCGGTCGCTGTGTCGTGGGATGCTGGGGCCTCTGGCTGGGGTCAGCAATTAGCCTGAGCGGCTTCTGGCCTTGGCGACTTCCTGGGTTTTGTTGCCACGTAAATAAATCATGGAAAATCTGAGTCCCCGTGGCGCCCACCTGTTACCATCTTGGTGACGGTCCATCCGGCAGGAAGAGTTTAGCCGCAAAGACCCTGGGACACACGTGCGTCAGAGTGGGCCCCGTCGGCCTCTGAGCTGGTTTCCAGTGTCCACCTGGCTTTTCAGGGATGTCCTGAAGGGCAGCGCCCTGGGCCGCTGGTTTGTGGGTGTCCCGTGGCACAGGACTGGATGTGAAAACAGCAGGAATGTGTCCTGGACCGAAGCTCACTGCCCCGGTGTGGGCGGGGCCGCACTCCCTCCGGAGGCTCCGGGGAGGCTCCCTCCTCATCTCCGCAGTTCGTGGGGGCTGCAGGCATCCCTGGGCTTGTGGCCGCGTCCCCCGTCTCTGCCTCCGCCTTCGCACGGCCTCTCTTCTGTGTGTGCGCTTCTCCTTTTTCTCATTGGATTTAGGGCCACCCTGATCTAGGATGACCCCGTGTTGTCACGTCATTCCATCTGCAAAGACCCTGTGCCCAAGTAAGGGCACATTCACAGGTTTCAGGGGGTTAGGACATGGATGTGACTTCAGGGGGCCCCGTTCCAGCCACCCCACCCGGCAGGCCTCTGGGAGGGGTGCCTCATCCCGGGTCCCCACCCCCACCTCACTGGGCTCCCTGAGAACAGCTGTGTGAGCTCGGGCAGGCTGCTTGCAGCCTTTGAGCCGATTCCTCAGCCCAGTGACATGGATCGTTTGCTCTTTAATGAAGTTCGAAGTTCTCAGCTGTGCTGTGAGGTAACGGATACGACAGCGTGAAACGGTCGGGGGTCTGTAGCAGGACCTGTAGCAGTGGGTACTATGTGTCATCCTCCCAGGGAACGGGCTGTGTGACATCGAAGGAAATCCCAGGTGCCCCGTGTCCCGCCTTTGTGCCCAGACCCAGTTCGGCCCGATCCCACCTGGGAGTCCGGAGCCGAGAGCAGCTGCAGGCCCCGCAGGCCTGGGCGCCCTGGCTCTGGGCCCTCTGCCTGGGTTGGGCGGGAAAGCGTGGACGCAGAGCCACGTGGCCAGGTCACACTCCGCACCCCTACCCCGCTCACTCGCCGTGTGCCTGGGCTCGTCCTCACGCTCTGTGTCCTTCACGGAAGAGGCGGTAGCAGTCCTGCCGGGCAGGCTGTTCTGAGGTCGCCAAGTCCTTGGGAACTAGCGGAGATATGGCGAGAAGGACCCACAGATGCGGGCGGCGTTGGGGCGTGGGGAGGAGGACGGAGGTCTCCCTCCAGCCCCTTCCAGCCCGTCCCTGTCTGTCTACACCCCTGCCGTGGTGCTTCCTCTCTGCGCTTCAGGGCTCTCGGGCGAGGGGGGGCGAGGCCTCAGGGGAGCCGGTGTGAGGTCCAGGGCCCCAGGGCCGGGCTGGCCAGGTGGACAGGGCGCCCCTCCTCCTACCGCCTGCTGGAAAGTCGTCCTGACGTCCGTGCGGATCCGAGTTTCTTCCAGACTGTGTATCCTCATCGTAAATGAGGTGCTTGCCCCCAAAGCGCCTCCGTGACCCTGTGGGCTCCGTGGCTGCTAGAACCGTGGAGAACACGGGCTGGCCTCACAGCAGAGCCAGGAAATACCCTCACCTGCGCCTGTCCCAGCCCGGCCACCACCCGGGCTGTGCCGTGGGCAGTCCCTCAGTTTCCACACCTGTAAACTGGAGAGCTGAGTTCTCGACAAGGGTGAGACGCCCTACGGTTACATCAGTTACAGTTTTCTCCGTTTCTCGTTTTGAAGTCCCACTGGCGGCATACGAGTGGTTGGTCTGTTACCTGCTCCGCGAGAGTTATCAGAAATTAAATCAAGAGAAACAATCGGGAAGCAACGACTTTGAAGCAAGAAACAACTGTCAGGTACGTGTTTGTTTTAAAGGTTGCTTTTCTAATGATTCGCTCCTAATTCCCGCCCCATCGTGTCCTTGGTGAGCTGCATGTCCTGGTGATGGCAGGCCCTGTTGCTCAGCCCCTGTGACCTTGGGCGCTTGGCCTGACCTCTCCGCACCTTGGTTTGCTGTTGGGACGGTGGCGCCGCCCTTGCCCCGTGTGGAAGAGGTTGTGGGCATCATATCTAAGGCCCCTGACAAGTGTGTGGCCCGTTGGCCAGAGCTGTGCTGGTTGGCAGGGGGACCCGGGGCTGTGGGAGCCCGTCAGCCACCAGGGTCCCTCCCGACCAGCAGAGTGACGGCTCGGTGACTTCTGTGAGGTCCCACCCGTGCTCTGTCTGCATTTGCTTCCTTAGTCATTGTGCTTCTCTCCAAGGAGGCTCGGTGAGATTGGCCCAAGGGCAGCTCTGGTTCTCACTCTGGGACAGGGCTGCCTCTCGTGCCTGGAATCCCCAGCACGAAAACAGCCGCTCTAAACACCTCTTTACGCGGGATCTGGTCCTGCTGTGGTCCGTGGGCCCCGTGCATCTACAGTGACTGGTGTCGTTTGGGAAAAACGTAGCCTAGGAAGCTTCTAAAACTGGTGTCATCCCTTCTCCTTGGACACTGGGCGATGGAGCCTCCCCCGATAGCCTGGGGCCACGTCTGCCCATCACTTCCGAGGGCCCCGCCCCCTGTGCTGCGAGGGACAGCTTCACCCCCTTGAGCAGATGCAGTCAGAGCAGAGCAGGCATCCGGGGACCTGCCGGGCGTGTCTGCCCCAGGAAGGGGGAGGAGCACACCGGGATGGGGCTTCGCTGGAAAGGCTCGACCGAGGGCGAATAAACCAGGATCAAACCTGTGTCTTCAATGAATTCAGCAGACGTCAAGGTTGGTGAAACCCTAGTTCAGTCCAGGAACCCGAGAGAGGAGGTGTGAACACGATCCTTCCACGTGGGCTGGGGCCACGGCACCCTCGGTCACTCGGACACTGACGGCTGCGGAGTTCCTCCTTTCTCTGCATTGTAGCCCAAGACCCCGAAGAGATGGAGGACACGGAGGTCGCCCTTTCCCAGCACATCCGAATCCCGCAGAGCTGCCCAGAAGGTCACCACAGGCCTCGTCTGAGCCGATCTGTGACACCGCCATGCCCGCCGGCCTGTGCCCGGCACGTGCACAGACAGACAACAGAACCCGAGTGTGTGGCTTGGTCGTTTGAGAAGGAATTCACATTTAGACCTTCGACTGAGAACCTGGCAACGGCACTTCAGTGAGCCTTGTGGCAGCATACCCAGCCTGGGTCCAGCCAAGACGGGTGTCCCTGGGGAGAGCCTCAGAGCTGAGGTGCGGCCAGACCTGAGGAGTGGCTGTGATGTGTACTGGAAGGCGGCCGCGGGGCTTGGAGGGGAGGGTGACCCGAGAGGGGGGCTGCGTTCTCCAGACCTGCTCTGGATCACGGAGCATTAAGAGTGAGCGCCGGGTCATCCTGACAGCTGAGAGCGCCTCAGAGCCCTGGGACAGACGTTCAGGGTCCTGTGGAGATGTGGTCCCCGCCCGTATGGTGATGGGAGCAGCAGTAGAGCACGAGAGGGAAACTTCAGCGAATGTTTAAGTGCCCTCGGCGGGACGAGCTGCTCAAGTATGACAGGAAACTCAGAGGCTGTGAAAGAGAAAACTGGCAGCTCTGACTACACATACGTTCACCCTTTCTAAATAGCAAAAGATACTGCAAGGAAAGTCAGAAGACAGATTCCAGTCTGGGGAAGCATGAGACGTACGTAACCGACGGTAGGAAAGAGTTCCTACAGGTTGAGGGTCAGCCTGGCCCGGGAACCAGCCGCTGGCCCGAGGTGGCAGCCACAGCAGTCACTGACCATGAACCAGGGCCAGGGATGTGCGGGTCAGAGGACAGTGTCTGATGGACGAGGGCCACTCCATGCGCTGTCAGCCGAGGCTGTGAACTACTGTGCCCTTTGGGGGAGGTCACTGGCTGCTTTTGTGAAAATATAAAGCGTGTTCACTCTTTGACTCACCGGGGGGTAGGGGGGGAAGTTGATAAACTTTTCTTTATCTGCTCCTGCTAGTAAGAAGTCCCAAGCATTGAACCCAAGCCAGCTGTGACCCCTGAGTCCAGCTCTTTCCCCCACACTGCATGGCTGATGTCCACGCTTGAGTAGTTCAGAGTTTGTCTTTTGCCTAAAATATTTATTACTTGTTAAAATGCAAATATACTCAGAAATCAGAGCACACCAGAAACTGATACCTGGATCTGAATTTTTTCCCTGGGGCTGTAGGTTTAGTGGGGGTGGGGATGCATGGGAGGGAGGACCCTGGCACTGGGACCAGTGCAGGGAGAGGGGAACGGACCTTCCTGGCCTCACACGTCAGGCTGCTGGCCTCTCTCTCGAGCTTTTCGTGGTTACAGAGTGGCGGAAACATTGAGTATGGAGCAGCTTGTGCCATGGGGGGTAGGACCACCCCTGAGTGTTTCTGTCCCCACCACGGCCCCAGAGTGGACACCATAAGGACCCTTTGTGGGCACTGGCCCATGTCTGTTAATAGCATGGTCAGATCTGCTGGCGGCAAGGACAGGCTGTCCGGGAGAAGCCAAGGACGGGTACTGCGTGTAAGGATTTGGGAGGGAAGTTGAGGGCATGGGAGCTGGAGTGAGACCCTCACTCCTATGCATGTTCGGGCTGTGTGATTTTGGGGGACCTGTCCGTGCATTGTGGGGTGCCCAGCAGTACGCCAGGCCTGTACCCACTAAGATGCCAACAACACCCCCGAGTCGTGACAACCCAAACTGTCTCCTGACGGTGCCAGATGCCCCAGGGGGCAAACCGGCCCCAGTCAAGGACCCCTGAGTCAGTGGAACCTCCCGTCTGGAGCGGGGAGCTGTTGGGAAGCGGAAGCAGATCCGTTCTCTGTGGCTCATGGAATCTCGCCTCTGCCATGTCTTCCTTCAGACACTTCCTGCCTGCCCACGGCCTGCATCCACGTGACCACCCAGGCCCAGCACATATGCTGCCCGTGCACCGTGTTCTCCACGGCTATTAATTCAGGTTCTCAGGCAGCAGGGCAGGTGGCCTGATGAGCGGCCAGGAGAGCCATCCAGCCAGCCCCTGGCGCCCAGTCAGCGGGGTGGGGAAGTAGACGTGGGCTCCTGAGCCCGCTGCTGCATCGGGCGTCCTGGGCACGGAGGTCGCGGTGGGGCGGACCCCCAAAGCCCAAGTCCCCCAGGTGGCTGATGGCCTCATCTGAACATTTCCACGTAGCAGCTTCATGCGTGTTCGAGTCCTGGGACTGAGACAGAATAGAAGAGCAGCCACCATCACAGAGCAGCTTCTGGGACCCCGAGCAGGTGCTGGACACGTGAGATGCTGTCTGATGCTCCTCCTGGCAGTGCTTGGAGGCTGCACACTGACGCCCCCTCTTCTCAGACCAAGAAGCTTGGGCTTGGGGCGGAAACCGCCTGTCCACACGTGCACATCTGGAAAAGCCGAGTGGATTTGGAAGCTGGTCCCCTCGACCCTGAATCACTTCCGTGTCAGTGACTCAGAGCTCGGCGGGGCTCAGGATGCGTTTTCTGGGTGGCGAGGTCAGAGGTGGTGCTGCCTTTCCAGGCCTGTACCAGCCGATGCCATGGCTGAAATGGACGTGCGCCGCTTGTACTGGGAAATAAGATGAACGCAATGTGATTTCATACTAGAAAATCCACATGGTTGAAAAGGAGAGAGTAAAGTGGAGAGCACGGAGAGTTTGGATTCAGTTCTGAGCCCGGCCTCTGGGATTCGCAAGGGCCTCACGCAGAGCGGAGCCCACAGTGCGTGAGCACGTTTAGGGGTGCGGGTGGTTACTGTAATGACACGCTCTAGCGACGTAGTGAAGGGGTGGACGCTGGGGCCAGCCTGCCTGGGTTCAGCTGTGTCTCCACCTCTTGCCCGTTGCGTGACCTTGTTTCATCCGTGGGGTCCGGGGAGGATCAAGTGATAACCTGCTGGCTCTTGTGAGCTTAGTGCCTGGCCTGGGGTGAGGGTGGGGTACTCCCTGCCCACCTCCGTCGTCAGCTTCCCTCCTGTGAGGTCTCCTCACCCAGCCTCCCCCAGCGCTCACCCTCCGAAGCCAAGGGCGCACACACCACAGCGTGTGCGAGAGGGAAGGGGACAAAGCCGCTCTGAAGGCCCCGGGCTGGCCCTCCAGGCCGGACACGGGGACGCAGGATGTGTGCCCTTGCAGCTTCAGAAGCCCAGCGGGGTGTTGGGGTCGGACGAGGCAGACTGGCACGAGGCCGGGGAAGCATTCTCCCCTTGAATTTTCTCCTGAGGGCGCATAGTCTCGGGCAGGCCCTGGGAGAGCCTCGGCCTAAGAAGTGACCAAAGGACGACCCAGTGTTTGCTCTGAAAGTCGAGAGCAGGCCTTGAAATCATAGCCCCTGCCCCTTGGTGCCTGCGCCCCCTTCCCCCCGCCCCGGACCACACTCTGGACCGCAGTCTGTTGATTCTGGTCGATGGTCGGGGGCAAAGTAGGCAGGCACTGAATAAAGGTCTTCACCCTGCCCCGTCCCCGGTCACCTCCTTGCTGGATTATTTTTTTAATTACACAAGCAACACATGCTCATTATAATAAATCAGGAAGGCATCTATAATTGTTCTAATAAGAAAGCAGTAAACTGATCAATTAGAGATGCGGAAAGACACATGCTCATTATAATAAATCAGGAAGGCATCTATAATTGTTCTAATAAGAAAGCAGTAAACTGATCCGCGGCATGTGGGATCCTCCCGGACCGGGGCACGAACCCGTGTCCCCTGCATCGGCAGGCGGACTCTCAACCACTGCGCCACCAGGGAAGCCCTCCATCTTTTTTTAAAAACTATTTTTTTCTATTTCATAAGGATTTCAAGAGTTTTTATCTGAATCTTCACTGAGCCTTATTGTTTGTCGCTAGCTTTCGATTTTATTTTATCAGTATTATAAAGTTCAACTAAATTAGCTAACTGTTCCACTGAAAGAAAGAAAAACTAGCAATTCATACAAATAGCTAAATTTCTAATAGTACAAATTCAGTAGCTCTTTAACACGGAGCTTTTTTTCAGCCTCCGTGCCGTTGACATTCGGGGCTGGATAATTCCATGCTGCGGGACCACCCTGTGCACTGTAGGATGTTTAGCGGCATCGCTGGCCTCTCCCCACTGGATGCCTCTAGTACCCGCCACTTATGACGACCCAAAATATCAACAGCCATCGGCAGATGACCCTGGGAGGGGAGGGTGGCGCAATCACGCCTGGTAGGAATCACTAAAGGTCTTTGAGAACGAAACTCCATACTGTCCGCTTAGAGTGCACGAAGCGAGGACCAGTGAGCCAGCTGTCTCTGTGTGTGTTAGTAAGTATATTTACAGGAAGCTCATTTGGGGGAGCAGAGATTTACAAAAGTGATCCACAGCAGGTGTGTGCACAACCATTTTGTCATTTCATTAAAAGCCAGTGGAAAGTCCTCCATCTAAAACGTGACGGGGAAATACCTGGCCTCCTGCAGGCAGCACATACCAATCAGCTCCTCCGCCAGTGTCCTGGGGCCGCCATAACCAAACAGAGCGCCACACACCGGGGGCCTGAAACCACAGAAATTTACTCTCCACAGTCTGGAGGCCAGAGGTCTGACATCAAGGCGTCAGAAAGGCCACACTCCCCCCGGAGGCTCCATGGGAGGGTCCTTCCTATCTCTTCCAGCTTCTGGTGACCCCAGAGTTCCCGGGCTGTGGTCGCTTCCCTCCCGTCTCTGCTTCCGTCTGCACGTGGCCCCCCTCTCTCCATGCCCTCTCCTCCTCTGACTCTTGGAGGACAGCGGTCATTGGATTCAGGGCCCACCCAGGTAACCCAGAGTGACCTCACCTCCAGAACCTTAATTATATCTGCAAGGACCCTGTCTCCCAACAAGGTCACATGTTTGGAGGACACTTCAACCCACGGCAGCTACACAGAGGGAGCCTGTGGCTCGGTCGCTGGGGGTTTCGAACATTTTCATCTTGATTTTCGTGTGGTCATAAGCGTTGCCATCTGTGGTCTGTGCAGATTCGGGACCCGAAGACCCTTCTTCCCATGCCAGGGGTGATGGTTGGCGACATCGGAAGGAAGCTTGGACAGAACGGTCTGGACAATGGGTGAGCGCACACTTGGTACTTGACGGTCACTCCTCCAGGGGTCGTTCCTCAAGGCTGCCTGCTCAGTACGTCCTACCTGTGAGCCCACCGGCTCCCTCAGCGCTGTCCCCGTACCCTCCCAGGCTCCTGCGGGATGCGCCTTACCTCTGCACTTGAGATCATGTTGGAAAGGGCCGGGTCCTGTTTGTACTCCAACCTCAGGAGACATAAGTGGCCCCAAGTGCAGAGCACACAAACTTCTCCCCGGCAGGTGGCCGCTCCAGCTCTCAGGCCAGGCTCAGGCTGGACACCCGTATCCCGTGGGGGCCTCAGCCTGTGACCCGGGCCCTGCTCCCCGTCCTGGAGCTCAGGCACCCAACAGCTGTCCACGCTGGTTCTGGGGACAGAGCCGGGTGCCGGGTAGCGGGGGCAGAGTGGCCTGAGATGAGACCTGGGCTTGGGGAGCTGGAGGGGGGCAGGTGGGCAGGCGAGCCACGTCAGGAAGGGCCTTAGAGTCTCCCTGAGGGATTCCCGGGCTCATTCATGGCATGAGTTTTGGAATCAGATCTGGGTTCATATCCTGGGTCCACCTCTGCCTCTTTGTGTTATCTTGACCAGCTTTCTTGGCCGTCTCCTCCTCTGTAAGGTGGGCATGATGTCCCCAAGCCAGGCCCTCGCGTAGCCCTGCCTGGGGGCCAGGCATGGTCTTACCGACCTTTGCTACCTGTCAGTGCTCTCTTCACCTGCGCCTGCGGGCGGGACTCACATGCCATCTCCCGGAAAGCCTGGCTGAGATGCTTTGTGCCCCTCTGTTCTCCTGAGATGCTTTCTACCTGGGGGGGGAAGCACAGCCGGGGGTTCCTTAGTCGTGTACCTCACGCTGCGTCTCGGGAACGTTTGCATACCTGCCGCTTCGTCGGGGGGGGCAGAGAACAGAGGAGCCTGCCTCGCCGTAGTTTGAGCCCGCTGCTTATCCTGACCCCGGTCGTTTTGAGTGTAAATCAGGAGGCAGCAGCTCATCTCCGAGAAAGAAGCTGGGCCAGGTGGTCTCCCACCACCCTAAGCGTGGAGAAACCTCCTTTCAGCTGTCCCCCCTCCCCAGAGGTAGGGGAGCTGGGGGCACGGAGAGTGTCTCAAACCTCTGCTTGGACCCTCAGAACAGGTGGGGCCCCAGCCTGTACCAGAGAGGGCGGGAGAACCATAGATTTTCACTCTGTGTAGCTGGAGGAGAAAACGGAAGGATGTTGCTAAAAAGTGAAACCAGAAACACACACACACACACACAGCCCTTCTAACCTATACCTGTCTAGAGCTTTGAGTGCCTCTCTTGCTGGCCTGTGAAAAGAGCCTGTTAATTAACGCTGGAGCCTGGGGTGGGGGGAGGAGGGTGTCAATTCCCTTCCATCACTGCTTTGTGCGGGTGCATGGGCCCCCCCAACAGGGACGGGCCATGTGGCCTCTGGTCCTTGGGACAGGGGACGCTCTGCAGCCCTCAGAGCGAGGCCGCCACGCGGCTTGGAGTGTTTGAGAAGATGGACCCGATCTGGCTGAGGTGAGGCAGCATCAAGGAGGACCATGCGGGAGGTGGAGGTGGAAGGCCCCGTCTTGCTCTGGGCCCTGAGCACGAGCGTCCTTTTATTAGATCCACGCGTCCCATTGTGGGACCCGGAAATGCGTGTACGGTGACTCCATCTGTGGAAGGGTCTGTGCTCACACGTAAGGCCGGGCAGGTGTGTCTCCAGGCACCTGGCGGTGGGAAATGACCCTCCAGCTGTGAACAAGTGCTGCTGGGTCACTGCTGTCCAAGGAAGGCCTTGGGTGAGGTCACAGATCTCCAGTCCCCGTTCATTTGGTTTTACAAGTTAGAACCTTTAACACTGTTTGGGGACATCCGTGAAAAACTCTGCCCTTGGTCCTCCCAAATCAAGTCCCGTTTTATTTATTTTTATTTATTTATTTTATTTTTTAACATCTTTATTGGAGTATAATTGCTTTACAATGGTGTGTTAGTTTCGTTTCAGAGACTGTTAGTCCCGTTTTAGAGACTGAGTATTTGTTTCTTATTGCGATGGTCCCAGGGAGTCACACCAGCGTAGCAAAGGCCCTCCTAAATAAACATGTCACGTCCGACGGGCAAAGCCCTTGTGAGACTCAGCAGTGCCAGCCCGGTGCCGCCAGGGGGCAGCATCGTGACTACCCTGAAGCCGGCTCAGAGCGGCCCCCCCAAACCAGAGTCGCCGTTCCCATGGGGCCACTTGGAGGCCGGCAGACAGGACGTGGAAGCAGCCGTACCCTGAGCCTTTGAAGGTTCAGTGGTGCCTGGGGTCCCTCGGCCGCTGGGCTGGGGCTGGGATGTGGGCCAGGGGCGGTGACGCAGGCAGTGCCCGCCCCGCCAGAAAAGCAGCTGTCCCTGCCAGCTTCGGGGCGCACGCCCAGCAGAGGGCGCGCGGGTCTGAGTCCCTGGCTTTCCTTGTTTGCAGGCTGCTTGCAGAGCAGGGTCGCGATTGAGATCTTTTATTTTGAAAAAGTGGTTAACAGTTCATAGGTAGATCACAGGGATTCGTGAGTCTGTGGGAAGACTGTCTAGAAATCAGAGGCAGACGTAAATTGCACGGATTACTTTTAGCCAAATAACTCTAAAAGCAAATCAGTAAAGATCCCTCAAGTGAACTGTTGAGCCTCACCTTCAAGGCGGGCTGCAGGGCATCCTCACACTTGCTCAGAGGTGAGGTGGGGAAGCATCTCCAGAGCGGCTGGGAGGACGTCCCATGAGGCTCTGGGGCCCAGGTGGGGCTGGGGCATCAGTGAGAGGCCCCAGGAGCAAGGAGGCCACTGGGACGTGGAACGGGTGGCCCAGGAGGAAGGGGGTGCAGGGCCTGGGGCAGGGTCTGCCGCCCGCAAGCCCCCCAGCCCTGCCGTATACTCACACTATCGTGTCACACGCACACCCCGTGTCAGATACGACCTATGCGGCCCCCCGCCCCCCTGCCCTCTGGGGACACTGGGGATTCTGACCAGGCTGGCCAGCATCGACTGTTTCTGGAACAGCCTTTGCCACATGGCAGTGCTCAAAAGAGAATGTGTAAAATTTTGATTTCAGTTAAACTCCAGTGAATAGTTTTGCGACTATAAATATATCCAGCCTTGTTCCATCCCTGTGTGGCGGGGAAGGGTGAAGATTTTCCACTCCTTGAAAAGGGCGCTCTCAGTTGACAGCATCAGACTTGGAAAAGCATTCCTCGCCTTTCAAGTGATGAGCTGGACCAGACCAGGGACTTCGGCACTGAGGCCGGGCGTTCTAGAGACGTGGGTCCCGGGGCCAGTCAGAGCCGCCCCACAAAGGCCCCGATGAGTGGCTCCCTCCAGGCAGTGCCTTCGGGTGCTCGGGCCGGGCCTGCGTTTCACACGCCGGAGGGAGACCCTGGCCTGGATGCTGCTGGGGGCCTGGGGGCCTCACGTGCAGAAATCCTAGTCGCTTCCGAAGGAATTTGGGAGGGGCCCCTCCAGCCGCCCCACGCCCAGCCCCGGGTCTCAGCTCTTCCCCAGGTGCACTGGCTGTGTCACCCCTCAAGGCTGCCCCGGGACTCGGGGTTCTGTGGAGGTGCACCAGCGCCCTTAGGACGATGTCTCGTCGCTGTTGATTCATCCCCGGTACTTATTACGTGTCTTCTAGGTGCCAGGCATGTGGCCCCCTTATAACAGGGTCACTAACGGCCACCGAAAGGCAAGTGGCTCAGTGGGCAACGTGGCCAGGACCGCCATCTAATGGTGCTGTGGGACCCCTGGGTGCTCACCTCGGGGCAGGGGTGGGAATCGTGGCAGGCATCTTGGAGGAGGGGGCAGCGCTCTGAGGGCCGTCGGCCCCGAGGCCAGGAGAGGGCCTGGCCGGCTTGATGGTCACAGGCAGATGTTACGGGCTGTGGGCTACGAGGAGGCCGGTGCTGTTGCAGCAGCTGACAGGGGTCCCGTCGGAGGGCTTACCACGTTTCCCTACGGGTTTAGATTCTGTTGGTCCCAGGGATCCAAGATTCTCGTGCCGGGTGTGACCATTCCGAGCTGAGGTTTAGACAGGCCTCTGCTCCCGTGTGCGGGACAGGGGGACAAGGTGGGGTCTGGAGAGAGCCAAGGGGGAGGCTGTTGCAGGAAATGGGACAAGAAGAGGCACAGACCATCAGGACACGGCCCGGGGTGGGGGTAAGCACCGTGGCTCGGGACGGTGCCTGGGGAGCCACGCAGCCTGGGGTCCAAGGAGGAGCTGGGGGGTGGTACGCGGAGCTGCCCCCCTTCTCCGCAGGGCACTGCTCTTCTCCCCAGAGCTGCTTCCTGTGGTTCAGTAAAAGAATGTTCCGTGTGACATCGAAACTGCTTAGAAATCAGATAAGGCGCTGTCGGAACTATTGATATTTTAAGATGGTTTGGGTTTTTTTGCACAGTGTCTGTACCACCCGTGACTTCACATAACCTTGTTCCCTGCACTGTCGTGAGATAGATTTTCCTTCCTGACAACCACAGAAAACACCTTCGATTACTGACACACGCGTGATCCCCAGGGATGCGTGTGCATGCGTGTTCTCAGCTGCTCAGGGGAGCTGACTCACCTGCCTCTGGAGCCCTAATGGGATGGTGCAGTACTCCTGTTTGACTCGGGACGTTTAAAACCTCAGTTTGCTGACTTTGTCACTCCGTGTGTGGACTCTGGTGCGGGATTCAAGTGTGAGAACCAGAGATTCTCATCTTTACGAAAACGGTCCCGCCTTTTCTGCTGAATGACCGGTCCCGGGTGTTCTGGCCGCAGCGAGCGAGGACGTTTCCTCCCAGCGTGTAGTGTAGCGGGAGCCCGCGTGCAGCCCTGAGGCCCGAGCGCCGGAGGTAGTGGGGGTGGGGGCGCTCGCCTGCATCATTACCAACAGACGGCCGCTTTACCTCACGCAGAGCCCATCACTCACACCACCTTTTGCTGACGCCTGCTCTTTTGAATAGAAAAATTGGTTGAAATGTCCTGTCTACTGGTGCCTTCTCTCTCCTGCGTTTGTGTTTTGTTGTGTTTTGTTAGGTTTGTTTTTTTGGTCTTTGGGGGATTATGTCACCTTTTGAGTTGTCCTTTGCTTTTTTTTTGTTTTTTTGCGGTACGCGGGCCCCTCACCGCTGTGGCCTCTCCCGTTGCGGAGCACAGGCTCCGGATGCGCAGGCTCAGCGGCCGTGGCTCACGGGCCCAGCCGCTCCGCGGCATGTGGGATCTTCCCGGACCGGGGCACGAACCTGTGTCCCCTGCATCGGCAGGCGAACTCTCAACCACTGCGCCACCAGGGAAGCCCTGTCCTTTGCTTTTATTTGACTGAGTTTCAGGAGGGAGAGGAGATAAGCCCCGGGGGCCGACCCCAGTTTAACCAGAAGTGCTGTGTCTCCACACAGATTTGCCATGTTCCACAAGGTCAGGATTCCTCGCCAGGACCTGCTGAACCGCTCAGGAGATATCACCCCCGAGGGCACCTACGTCACCCATGTTAAGGTACAGCTGCCTCCAGGCCCACAGGACACCCACCCCCTGTGCTCAGAGGGGGACAGTCACCACAGGAGCCCGTGGCCCGTGCAAACCTGTCTAGGATCAGGTCCCAGTGCCGCCAACAGGGACGAGAGTGCTTGGGTCAGCCACACCCCCAGGGCTCCGAGCACGATGACCTCCCCCCACCCCACCCCTGCCAGCCCCCCCGGCATTTCAGTCAGGGAGGTTGCCCCCACCGGTGCTGTTTCCCACCAGGGGCTTAAGAGTGAAAGGGTCGCCTGGTGGGCTGTGCACCAACGGGGGTGACGGTGTCCTCTGGTGTCTGACCACGCCCCTAAGTTCACTGAGTGTAGACATGCAGTGGCACTGGACGCTTTCCAGACGTGGTCGAGTCAGGGTAGCTGAGCCCTCCCGGGCCTGAACCCACAGCCGGGATGACGCGTCCCGGGAGCACGTGTGCGTGTGAGAACCCCACCTGACATTGAGCTTCGGCTGCTTGGAGCCAAGAGAACAGGGCTTCAGCGCGTGTGACGGGTGCCTCCAGATGATGAAAGAAGCTAGAGGTGACACAGGAAGCCGTTCAGGAATGGAAACAGCGATATACAAAAGGAATGAAAAGGACAAAAGTAAGTCACTGAGAGAACCCAACAGATGGGGTACATACAGCGGGAGAGTGAATTAGCGGTTGGAAATCAGAGTGAAGGAGGCGGCAGGAAAGGATGGAGAGAACCACGGAGACAATGTTTTGCAGAAACGATGAAGATAAATGTCTCTAAAGTAAAGAAGGAAGGAAACCTTGACGGAGGGGCCCATACAGGGGGAGTCAGGGTCTCCCATCCCACACTCACTGCAGAGAAATGTCAGAACCTCGTAGAGAAGATGCTGAGGCCTTCCAGAGAGAGGGTGCTGAGCCAACTCCCACGGAATAAAAGCCCCTTGAGTCTCAGAGTTCTCCGGCACGACGCCGAACGCGAGAAGTCAGTGAGATGACATTTCAAACCATTGAGGGAAAGCCACTGTAAACATGCTTCTTCTAAATCCAACCGGACTGTCATTCGTGCATGAGAACATAACAAATATTGTCGGCCAGAGGCTTGACACGTTGCCACACAAATACCAGAGTGGACATAATTTTGGAAGAAAAGTCCGAATAGTAAAATAAGTGAACCCAGGAGAAGCAGCAGGGGGTAAGGGAGGTGCACGTGATCGGATAACTTGGTGAACCTTACGGGCAGATGTACGCACACGCCGCCGACGGCCCTTAAAGCACAAGCCACTGTTGGAAACAGCGATAAGCGCGTTGCGATTTACAACACGTTAAAAATAGACGCACACGGGCAATTACCCAGTTTCAAAGATCACAAAGGACAGCAGCTGGCCATCACACCGCTTAGAATGGTGGTTTGATGGACCGAGAGGAATCCCAGGTGGGGGGTGAGGGGGTGGGGGAAGGAGCCTGGTTTATAAACGAAATGTCGGTGCCAGCCATGCCCTCTGCTTCAGCTCCTGCGTCGCTCTCGGCACGGCTGTCAGGTCCTCGGTGGGACTGGGAGCGGGGCTTCGTACTTCCAGGTGGCCGTTTGCAGGTCTCTGCAGATGGTGCCCCGTCCTCCTGTCACTAGGCATCCTCCGTGCCTCCCCACAGCATCCCGTGATGGGGACGCCGGCACCCGTGCAGCTTGGCCTCCTGGGCCCAGGGGCCTGTGTCTGGGGCGCCCTGGGGGCAGGGCCTGGAAGTGTTGAGTGAATAGAGGAGCGCCCCTCCACATCTGTGCCCGTCCCCAAGGCAGCCTGCGGGTCCCAGGTCCGCCCTCACCTGCCTTCCTCCGGCAGGACGCCAGGCAGCACTTCAGCGAGTCCCTGGGCAGCCTGTCCTCCGGCCGGGTCGCCATCGCGGGCATGTCCGTCGTGAACCTAAAGCTGGCCGTGTCCATAGCTCTGCGTTTCTCAGCCACCAGGCGTCAGTTTGGACCAACAGACGAGGAGGAAGTACCGGTGCTGGAGTATCCGATGCAGGTACAGCTTCCGCAGGCGTGAGTTCACTTTCTTCCTGCTCCGCGTGCAGACACACCTCCTCTCTTAGGTCGCCGCACCTGGGTTGCTGGTTGCTGATCAGGTCTCTTCAGGAGTTAACAGAGGGAGTGACAGACACTCACAGGGAAGGAGTGCGGCGTCTGGGGCCACACGTGGTCTCGATAAATGGTCTTTAGTTGAACAGGAGTGTGTATGACCAGCAGGGGGCGCTCTGGTGAGGCCGAGGGAGCAGGTGTGCACACTCATCCCACCTGCGGGACCCTGAACGTCCAGGCCGCGCTCCAACGCGCTCGTCCCATCCCTGGGAAGTGACCCCAGGACACAGCAGCTGAGGGTGTAGCACTGTTCGTGGTGACGTCCTTTAGCAGAGGGGACGCTTGCATTCCGGGTCCTCCGAGACGAGGCAGCCCTCGATGGCAAAGGTGCAACTCAGGCTGAGCATCACCTGGACGCCGGGGCGGGGCGGGGGACGCATTTTATCACAGCGAGCCCCCACCGGTGCCCCTGCGTCCCCAGCCCTTCTGTGCGCACCATGCAGCTGCCCTGCACACCAGGTGGGCTGGGGATCCAGGTGGGTCCCCGAGGCTCGAGTCAGTGGCTCCTGCCAGAGTCAGCAGCTAAATCAGACCCAGGTCTTGGCCAGTTAGGCCTGAGCAAAGGTGTATCTGAGCGAAAGTTTCAGGAAATTGTAACTGAATCGAAGTTGTTTCTTTTAACACTTCTTTTACTATGGCCGTGAACCTGTTTTAATACCAAATAAACAAGTAAGGAAAAGCCCAGTGCCTGGTTCATTCTGGGCTGGCACGCAGTGTCCACCACACCACCAACCCCGTGGCCTTGGTGAGGTCACGGCACGTCTGACTGTCTGGGCATCAGGCCTGGCTCAGCGGTCACGAGAGCCCACCTGAGCCACATGCTTGGGCTCCTGACCCCAGGTCCACCCCCTCCCTGCTGTGTGTCCTTGGGCAAGCCACTGAACCTCTCTGTGCTCTAGTTTTCTCCTTTGTAAGTTGGGACTGCTGATAATACCTCTCTGTGAGTGGCTGTAAGGATTAAATACGTTAGTGCATGAAAAGCAGTTGGCACCGTGACCACACCCAGGAAACGGCAGGTGACCACAGTGCTGACGGTGGCACCTGTCTCCCAGGTCCTTTCAGGCTCCGCCCCCTCCATCCATGCAACAGCGGATGTGCGCTGGTGAAAGAGACACCCTCCCTTGGCTCTCCATGAGCCTGTTTCCCCGTCTGGCTCTGGGGGTGGTCGCTTCATTCCCCGTAGGCTCCCAAAGCACAGGCATCGCCGGGTGGGCCCCGCACTCGGGCACGGCCGCCTGGCTTTCTTAGTTCTCTTGTAGATCAGCATTTGCTCTGGCTCAGGGGTCATGTGGATGGGAGAGCGGTGAGGGGGCCGTGCAGGGTGGTGCACGCGGCACAGTTTCTCCTTGAGTGGGGTCGTCAGGGTGGTGCGGGAGACCTGGCCACACTGGAAGAGCGTCGGGGGGCAGGCCTCACGGGGGTGGGTCCGGGAGACGTGCAGGACCTTCTGCAACGAGTGGGGACGGTGGGCAGTGAGTTCCTGGCGCTCCAGTCCCGTCACCCACCCCGGAAGGCAGGCGGGCCCTGGGGGCACTTGGAGGTCTCCAGGCAGGGATTTGTCTGTTTCAGCAATGGCGTTTACTTCCGTACCTGGCCGCGGCCTATGCCTTGGACCACTTTTCCAAATCTCTCTTCCTGGATCTGGTGGAGCTTCAGCAAGGCCTTCTGGGGAAAGACCGGAGCGCCAGGCAGGTGAGGGTCTCCGCTTTTCTCCACAGCGTTTATCATCCTTTAAATTTCACTGGTGTTGGACAGCACAGATTCAGCCTTTCTTTCAAAACAACCTCGGTGCCTGGATTCGCGGGGACGGAGGCTCTGTCCGACTTGACCCGTGGACTGTGTCCTCTCGGAGCCCTCGCTGCGATGGGAACGTGTCAGGCACGTGTCCACATTCCCGATTCTCAAGGATGTGCTGACACGTCTCCTGGTTCCCGTCTGTGAGTTCAGCTGCTGTTCTCCTCTTGAGAACATGATGCTTTTGCAAAATCCACATTACCGGCCCCTCAGTCGATTTCACGGTTCTGATCCCTTTGTAAACAACCCGACAAAGGTCTGAACCCAGCTGACTGGATTTGACTTGACAGGCAGGCTTTGCTCCAGAAATGAGCGTGCAAATCCACTGAGACCAGCCCCTTCGTAGAAAGGGGTCCTCCGCTAATTTCTGTGTGGACGGTTCATGAGTTGTTTTTTTCCCCCCTTACGCTGCCTCCTGGGCAGCGGTGAAATGTGAATCACACCAAGGGCGCCTGAAAACTGGTTAGGAACGCTGCAGATCGGGGTTACGTACCACGCCCTGAAAAGCCTGTATCAAATTAGCACGTTTTGGAATATTCAGCGTAAACATCCAGGAGCCAAGAGGTGGGGCGGGGGAGGCGGGGGGGGCGGTGGCGGGGGGTTGCCGGCAGCGTGCACTGCTGAGCAATCAGGCCGACAGCGACACCGTGACCCTGAAGACCGTTTCATCAGGAGTGCAGGGTTACGCGTGTTGTTTCTCCCAAGCGTGAGTCATTGAAACTTTTGCCAGCTGACGATGGAGTTGTCCTGTTAAAAATGTCTTGAAGTGTCATCGAGCTCTGTTCTTTCTGAAACTCAGTGCTTCAACCCAGGTACAGGTTATAGAGTAGCCCTTCTTTGAAGTTGAAAATGCTGGTAAAACACATCACGTTATTTAGCGGGTGTGTGTGTGTGTCTTTCTTGTAATTATTTGCATTGAATATCGAGTCGAGGCGAAAGAGTATTTACTAGACGTGTTAAGGCTGGGAATGCTGGCTGGGCGCTCCGCGCAGTGTGGACCGAGTGGCCATGTCTGTGCAGTTGTCTGGGGCCGCCTGCCACCCTCTCCCCTGGGGGCAGTGTCTCGGCACCGCCTCCCAGCCCTTGGGTTTCTTCTTAGTCTCCGCTGCAAACTTCGTGTAAACGGAGTCATAACGTTACGCTCTTCTGCGATCAGCCTTCCCCGCTCCCCCGCGCTCCCACCCCGTGTTTACCGGCCAGGCAGAGCTGTGGTCGTTTATTTTCACTGTCATGAAGTTGTGTGACTGTGCTGCAGGGTATCCATGTTTACTTGAATCCTGTTTTTTTAAACTAAAATTGGGTTTCTTTCCTTTGTAGTTGTCGGGTACCTCGGATTAGACTGGAGGGGACATAAGCCTCTGAGGCTGTGCTTGAACTGACCCCTGACCTCTGGGGTCGGAGCCTTTTTTCACCTGTTCTCGTTGGCTTCTCTCTCCCAAGGCAGAGCTGGGACGCGAGATCCACGCCTTGGCGTCGGCCGGCAAGCCCCTGGCCTCGTGGACGGCCCAGCGCGGAATCCAGGAGTGCCGGGAGGCGTGTGGAGGACACGGCTATCTGGCCAGTAGGTTTTGGGGACATGTGGGCTGGTCTTCTGTCCTCTCCCGCACCATGTGGCTCACGGCCAGGGGTCGGCAAACGACAGCCTGCTGGCCAAAGGCTGTCTCTGTGGGTAAAGGTTTTTGTGAATAAAGATTTGTTGGCCCCCCGGTCATGCCCATTTGTTTACACACTTCCCGTGGCCGTGTTCCCGCTCCACCCGCCCAGCTGAGCCGTCTCAGCAAAGCCTAAAACATTTACTGGCTGGAACTTTCCAGAGCAGGTTTGCCAACCCCTGCCCTAGTCCAGTCCCTCGGCTCGCCGCCACCCGATGTTCCTCGGTCGAAACCCGGGTGTCACGAAGCAGCGTGGAGACCGAAAACCGGAAGAGGAAGGAGCTTATCTGTTCATCTAAATTGGAACTTTTTAGTTAATGGCTTTGGCAGTAAACTGGCACTAAGTTTTGTTCCGAAGAAAAATTCTGAAACTTAGAAAAAGAGAGTTTGCTTTTATTGACACTGGCAGCTGTTCGGTCATTTGGTGGATGGTGGAGAGAGGGGGAGACCGACAGCCCGGGACCAGATCCCGGCTCTGCCGGTCACGGGCTTCATAGCCGCAGGCAAGCTGCCCACCCTCACTGCCCCTCAGCTTTCTTCTCCATAGAATGGGACTAATGATAGGATAGCACAACGGGGGGTTTTGCAACGAGTAAGTGAACTAACCCACATGAAGGGTCTAGCACAGTGTCGGCATAGGGCGTGTGCCCCGTCATTTTGGTCTGTTATTATTATCATTATTATCGTGGTCGTCATCATTATTGCAGCTTACCTGCCTAACTCCCCGTGTGCTAGTCTCTTCAATAACTGATTGGTTAAAGTCTGGTTACTCAAAGAAGGCAACAACAGAGCTGGCAGAGACCTTCTTGACAGTTTATTCCTCCGGAAGCCTTTTAGGAGCTTTTAGTAACCGGGATGTGTCCCAGTTACTCCTCGTGCGGGGGCAGCAGGCAGGGGGGCCCCTCCCCTCCTCCACACTCCGCGTTTACTGACGTGTGGGTAACTGTGGGGCTGCAGACGTTACTCATCCATGTGTTTTGTCCTCGGTGCAATGCTCTTTGTAGTATTTGTTTGTTGTTATAGCTCATATAGAGACGCTATAAATAGTTTAGAAGGAGGAACTTGAATCACGCAGCCCTTCGGACAACAAAAATGACTAAAGGAAGTGTCATCACATAATACAAGCAGGGCTGAAGCCAGTGAGGCCCAACTCAGCAGGGATAAATGTAAAGCCGTTTATCTAGATTTAAGTATGCGTTGCAAATCATTTCTCTAAGGGCACTCTTAGCCCTTCATGTTCAGTGGTCTAACTGTGGCATGGGCAGCAATTCAGAGGAAGACGATCAGGGTGTCATAGGTGACCACAAGCCTCGTGTCTGCTGCCGAACATCTTACACCCTCTTGGGCTGTTCATAGCAATACGTGAGTGTGAGAAGTCAGGGTCCTACCCTTTCTCCCATCTCAGCCTCACGTTTGGAGAACATTCTCCGTCAGAGGATGGAAACCTAGGTGGTGAAGATCTGGGAAGCATACTTTATAAAATCTGCAAAGGAATTGGGTTATTTCGCTGGTAGGAAAGACAAGAGAAAAATGAGAGTTGTCTTCAGATATTTGAAATGTCTCGTGTCCAAAGAAGGGTTCCTTCAGTTGGAAAAGGAAGAAGGGCACCCTCCCGCCGCTCAGGTAGTCAGCTCTGTCAGTGACCCCACTGGAGGGCGCTTTGCCAGGTGACCTGAGAGGCTCACGGTAGGGACAGGGATGCTGATGCCAGCGGATGCTTCTTGAGCGCGGCACTGGGGCTTCACGGGGAGCCACCCGCTTCTCTTGCCCGGGGACCTCGCGGGTGTTACCGATATGTCCTTAAAGAGGGAGCAGCTGGATGGAGAGGGCACACCGCGGGTCAGGGGTGGAGTTGGCACTGGGAGCAGGGCGGGAAGTGCTTCATCCCGTCAAGCCGGACCTGGGACCTCAGAGTCCCAGGTGGCAGCTGGGGGTTGGGGGGCACTTCTCACATGTGCACCCCCAGTGACGAGAACGCTGGGGCCTCCTTGCAGTGAACCGTCTGGGAGACCTCAGAGATGACAACGACCCGAACTGCACGTACGAAGGCGACAACAGCGTCTTGCTGCAGCAGACCAGCAACTACCTGCTTGGCCTGCTGGTGCGCCGGGACCAAGGTGAGGAGGCTGGCGCCCTGCAGCTCCGTTGGGGGCGGGAGGGTGAGGTTCCCAGGCCCCCTTGAGTTAGCTCTTCTGTCAGGATGGACTCTGGGTTTTGCAGGAAGGAAATGTGTGATCAAGTGGGGACGGACCAGCTTCTGAAGTGATGGGCTGGGGCAGGTGGGGTCCTTCTGCCGGACATCCCCTGGGGTGGGGGTGGGGGGGTCCCTGGCTCTCCCGAGTCACTGGCTGTGCTCCTAGGCGGTGCCCGCATCGAGAGCCCGCTGAAGACCGTGGACTTTCTGGAAGCCTATCCCAACCTCCTTGGCCACAGGTTCGAGGGTTCCAGCCCTGAGGACTGCTTGGACTCCTCAGGTAAGTACACTCCCTCCGTGTCTCCAGGGTGCACTGTGCGTGGCAGAAGCTGGAAGGGCAGCCCATCTGCCAGAGAGCAAGGGGTGCTGGGTCTGCTCCTGGCCCCCCACCGTGTTAACGGTTGTGACTTTAATCGCAAAAACCGCTGTCGAGGTGCTGTGTGTTCCACGGAACGCTGTTAGCAGAGAGCCTTTGGCGTGGCAGGAGGGCACCTGGCTTTACAGAGTGTCTGTGTCCCCCGGGGGCGGGTCGCTGGGTCCTCCAGGTGAAGGAGCCGCCCCCTCCCTTACTCGGAGGATGGAGAGCATGTGACACATCGCAGCATCAGCGGCTGTGGGCACTGGGCGTGCCGTCTCTGGGGGACCCCGCCGGGCTGCACCGCTGCTCACGTCTCCAGGAGAGGAGACCGCGGCTGCCCAGTGCACCCCAGTGCATGTCAGCGGCCAGAGCAGGCGTCAGACCCGGGCTGGGCTGACTTGCCAGCCGTCTCTCCTCCATCTTCTTCATCGCCATCATCATCCAGAAACACTGCTGCTGGTAATTGCTTCGTCCCCCTCACCGCACTTTGTTACAGCTTTTCTCACAACAACACGCCTCCTTTATCTCCCTTTTTAAAGTGCTAAGAGGACGCAGGGACACGCTTGAAGATCTCTTTCTGGCGCTTACAGAGCTCCCCAAATGTTGCTCCAGGAAGCCCCTGGAAATGACTTAATCATTCTAATAACATCAACCCCACCGGAATGTTTCCCCCTAATACCGTCCCCCGCTGTAAAATCGGAACGTAAGCACGTGGTCTGCCAGCTTCAGGAGGTGTCCGCTACGCCCGCTGTGCCCCTTCCCCGCTCGCTGGAGCTGTGGACGCAGGAGCTGTGTTGCGCGCCGGCCATCAGGAAGCACGCCAGGGCGGCGTCATCTGTTTTTCCTGTGGGTGCTCTAATTTCTGCTCGTTCCAACAAAGTGAAAACATTTTCTGGAGCAAAGAACGCAAACAAAATTCATTTGACAAAAGGGGCTTGGCATCCAACACTGACGATCGGCAGCCCACAGCCAGCCGTTCGTCTCCAGGGCATTCGATCATGAAATCCCACATCTCGGGGCCGGCCTTTGTCTCAGCTGCATCTTTGGTAAAAAGTCCATAAATGACATATGACCCTGGGGCTCTGTAGGGCTGGACACTCAAGACCGTTCCAGTATTGAGCAAGGGCTGTCTGCAAGGTCAGGAGATTTTTCCTTCAGGGATTAGAAGGTTTATTTGGAGAGGGAGGGGCCGGGTGGGGCAGCTCTCTGTCTGCTTCCTCTGACTTATGTGCTGAGGATGGGTTTAACAAATGGTCCTGAGTGTTGAGGAGCTGCACGTCGCTTAATAACTGAGGCCCAGTTTTTTCCTTTAGTTGGCTTATTTGCAAAAATATTAAATAATTGGAGTTCAGCGTGTTGGCTGCTCTGACCATTGTGTATATACACAGGACAGTAGGGTTGTGTAGCATCACGTGTTCAGAGGGGTACATGGTGCGGTCAGCACACCGCCCAGAGGTTGGGAGCTCAGGGTCTGCAGTCAGCTGTGTAACCTCGAGCTAGATGCTTAACCTCTCTGAGCCTCAGTTTCCCCTGTAAGGTATCAGGAGGGAATGCGGTACCCCCCGCCCTCGTGGGCGGCTCACCGCCATGAGCTGGGGCCCTCCCTTGGGAATGGTGGGTGCAGAGTGACCCCTGCAGCGTGAGCTTAGCTGTTTCCCAGGAAGGCGGCTTGCAAGGTGGGTCTTGGAGGTTCAGAGCGGTGTGTTTGGGTAGCAGTCAGCCACACAGGAGCCGTGGGGTGGGCATGGTGGGAGAGCAGGTGGCTCCCACACCTGGGGCTGTGTGCCAGCCGAGGATCTGGGGCCAGGTGGCCAAGCCTTGCTTTCTGGGGCGCACCTGGGCCAGAGCCCCACTTTGGAAGGCGTGCTCTGGTGCCGATGCAGAGCAAGGCTGGACTCGGGAGACCAGCCAGGAGACCAGAACCTGGGCAGGGGCAGCACAGGAGAGAGTGACGGGAGCTGGGTGAGGGCAGGGGGGATGGTCGGGGGGATGGTCAGGTGGAACGTTCGATGGAGGGCCAGGTGAGAGACCCCCCGGGGGGTGGGTGCTGGTGAAACTGGGAGTTCAGGAGTCCCACGTTGAGGGCCCGGTGGGCGTGTCGGGGAGCCCCGACACTGAGAGGCCACGCAGGTGGGCAGACCTCGGAGTGATTGACCGTAGTGACAGTGGCCGCCCTGGGAGTGCGCCTGGGTTGGGGGAGCCGGCATGGGGAGACAGGCAGCGCTCAGGGCCTTCGAGGGGTGTAGGGGAGCAGCCGGGGAGCCCCGAGGAGGCCATTTGTGACCCAGGAACCTGGGAGGGACTTGAGGACTGAAGTTGAAGCAGCATTTGTCTTGGGCCTTCAGCAGCCCCCAAGCAAGAGCGTTACCGCCCACCTGTGCCGGTTTCCCCCAGTTTGTTCCCGATGACTCCTCACGCCCAGACGGACTCTCCGAGTGGCCCACACGCCGGCCGGCTGTGATTGTACCTTTTGTGTGCTCGCTGGGGGCTCCGCCCTTCTGTGTGAACACAGAGCAGTGTGACCCGCTTCTCTGTGAAAAACTAAAAGGGCTAAAAGTGGAATTTCTAAGAAAAACATTCCAGCAACTCATGTATCAAGCTTGCTTCTCACTCGGAGCACAGAGCAAACCGTGAACTGGTTGCTGACGTCAGCACGGGGGCTCCACGTGGTGCGGGACCCTCGGGGAGCCGGGTCACTTCTGCAGAGGGTCGCCTGCCCGGGCAGCGTCTGGGAACAGTCCGGAGGAGCCGCGGTCGCTGTGTCGTGGGATGCTGGGGCCTCTGGCTGGGGTCAGCAATTAGCCTGAGCGGCTTCTGGCCTTGGCGACTTCCTGGGTTTTGTTGCCACGTAAATAAATCATGGAAAATCTGAGTCCCCGTGGCGCCCACCTGTTACCATCTTGGTGACGGTCCATCCGGCAGGAAGAGTTTAGCCGCAAAGACCCTGGGACACACGTGCGTCAGAGTGGGCCCCGTCGGCCTCTGAGCTGGTTTCCAGTGTCCACCTGGCTTTTCAGGGATGTCCTGAAGGGCAGCGCCCTGGGCCGCTGGTTTGTGGGTGTCCCGTGGCACAGGACTGGATGTGAAAACAGCAGGAATGTGTCCTGGACCGAAGCTCACTGCCCCGGTGTGGGCGGGGCCGCACTCCCTCCGGAGGCTCCGGGGAGGCTCCCTCCTCATCTCCGCAGTTCGTGGGGGCTGCAGGCATCCCTGGGCTTGTGGCCGCGTCCCCCGTCTCTGCCTCCGCCTTCGCACGGCCTCTCTTCTGTGTGTGCGCTTCTCCTTTTTCTCATTGGATTTAGGGCCACCCTGATCTAGGATGACCCCGTGTTGTCACGTCATTCCATCTGCAAAGACCCTGTGCCCAAGTAAGGGCACATTCACAGGTTTCAGGGGGTTAGGACATGGATGTGACTTCAGGGGGCCCCGTTCCAGCCACCCCACCCGGCAGGCCTCTGGGAGGGGTGCCTCATCCCGGGTCCCCACCCCCACCTCACTGGGCTCCCTGAGAACAGCTGTGTGAGCTCGGGCAGGCTGCTTGCAGCCTTTGAGCCGATTCCTCAGCCCAGTGACATGGATCGTTTGCTCTTTAATGAAGTTCGAAGTTCTCAGCTGTGCTGTGAGGTAACGGATACGACAGCGTGAAACGGTCGGGGGTCTGTAGCAGGACCTGTAGCAGTGGGTACTATGTGTCATCCTCCCAGGGAACGGGCTGTGTGACATCGAAGGAAATCCCAGGTGCCCCGTGTCCCGCCTTTGTGCCCAGACCCAGTTCGGCCCGATCCCACCTGGGAGTCCGGAGCCGAGAGCAGCTGCAGGCCCCGCAGGCCTGGGCGCCCTGGCTCTGGGCCCTCTGCCTGGGTTGGGCGGGAAAGCGTGGACGCAGAGCCACGTGGCCAGGTCACACTCCGCACCCCTACCCCGCTCACTCGCCGTGTGCCTGGGCTCGTCCTCACGCTCTGTGTCCTTCACGGAAGAGGCGGTAGCAGTCCTGCCGGGCAGGCTGTTCTGAGGTCGCCAAGTCCTTGGGAACTAGCGGAGATATGGCGAGAAGGACCCACAGATGCGGGCGGCGTTGGGGCGTGGGGAGGAGGACGGAGGTCTCCCTCCAGCCCCTTCCAGCCCGTCCCTGTCTGTCTACACCCCTGCCGTGGTGCTTCCTCTCTGCGCTTCAGGGCTCTCGGGCGAGGGGGGGCGAGGCCTCAGGGGAGCCGGTGTGAGGTCCAGGGCCCCAGGGCCGGGCTGGCCAGGTGGACAGGGCGCCCCTCCTCCTACCGCCTGCTGGAAAGTCGTCCTGACGTCCGTGCGGATCCGAGTTTCTTCCAGACTGTGTATCCTCATCGTAAATGAGGTGCTTGCCCCCAAAGCGCCTCCGTGACCCTGTGGGCTCCGTGGCTGCTAGAACCGTGGAGAACACGGGCTGGCCTCACAGCAGAGCCAGGAAATACCCTCACCTGCGCCTGTCCCAGCCCGGCCACCACCCGGGCTGTGCCGTGGGCAGTCCCTCAGTTTCCACACCTGTAAACTGGAGAGCTGAGTTCTCGACAAGGGTGAGACGCCCTACGGTTACATCAGTTACAGTTTTCTCCGTTTCTCGTTTTGAAGTCCCACTGGCGGCATACGAGTGGTTGGTCTGTTACCTGCTCCGCGAGAGTTATCAGAAATTAAATCAAGAGAAACAATCGGGAAGCAACGACTTTGAAGCAAGAAACAACTGTCAGGTACGTGTTTGTTTTAAAGGTTGCTTTTCTAATGATTCGCTCCTAATTCCCGCCCCATCGTGTCCTTGGTGAGCTGCATGTCCTGGTGATGGCAGGCCCTGTTGCTCAGCCCCTGTGACCTTGGGCGCTTGGCCTGACCTCTCCGCACCTTGGTTTGCTGTTGGGACGGTGGCGCCGCCCTTGCCCCGTGTGGAAGAGGTTGTGGGCATCATATCTAAGGCCCCTGACAAGTGTGTGGCCCGTTGGCCAGAGCTGTGCTGGTTGGCAGGGGGACCCGGGGCTGTGGGAGCCCGTCAGCCACCAGGGTCCCTCCCGACCAGCAGAGTGACGGCTCGGTGACTTCTGTGAGGTCCCACCCGTGCTCTGTCTGCATTTGCTTCCTTAGTCATTGTGCTTCTCTCCAAGGAGGCTCGGTGAGATTGGCCCAAGGGCAGCTCTGGTTCTCACTCTGGGACAGGGCTGCCTCTCGTGCCTGGAATCCCCAGCACGAAAACAGCCGCTCTAAACACCTCTTTACGCGGGATCTGGTCCTGCTGTGGTCCGTGGGCCCCGTGCATCTACAGTGACTGGTGTCGTTTGGGAAAAACGTAGCCTAGGAAGCTTCTAAAACTGGTGTCATCCCTTCTCCTTGGACACTGGGCGATGGAGCCTCCCCCGATAGCCTGGGGCCACGTCTGCCCATCACTTCCGAGGGCCCCGCCCCCTGTGCTGCGAGGGACAGCTTCACCCCCTTGAGCAGATGCAGTCAGAGCAGAGCAGGCATCCGGGGACCTGCCGGGCGTGTCTGCCCCAGGAAGGGGGAGGAGCACACCGGGATGGGGCTTCGCTGGAAAGGCTCGACCGAGGGCGAATAAACCAGGATCAAACCTGTGTCTTCAATGAATTCAGCAGACGTCAAGGTTGGTGAAACCCTAGTTCAGTCCAGGAACCCGAGAGAGGAGGTGTGAACACGATCCTTCCACGTGGGCTGGGGCCACGGCACCCTCGGTCACTCGGACACTGACGGCTGCGGAGTTCCTCCTTTCTCTGCATTGTAGCCCAAGACCCCGAAGAGATGGAGGACACGGAGGTCGCCCTTTCCCAGCACATCCGAATCCCGCAGAGCTGCCCAGAAGGTCACCACAGGCCTCGTCTGAGCCGATCTGTGACACCGCCATGCCCGCCGGCCTGTGCCCGGCACGTGCACAGACAGACAACAGAACCCGAGTGTGTGGCTTGGTCGTTTGAGAAGGAATTCACATTTAGACCTTCGACTGAGAACCTGGCAACGGCACTTCAGTGAGCCTTGTGGCAGCATACCCAGCCTGGGTCCAGCCAAGACGGGTGTCCCTGGGGAGAGCCTCAGAGCTGAGGTGCGGCCAGACCTGAGGAGTGGCTGTGATGTGTACTGGAAGGCGGCCGCGGGGCTTGGAGGGGAGGGTGACCCGAGAGGGGGGCTGCGTTCTCCAGACCTGCTCTGGATCACGGAGCATTAAGAGTGAGCGCCGGGTCATCCTGACAGCTGAGAGCGCCTCAGAGCCCTGGGACAGACGTTCAGGGTCCTGTGGAGATGTGGTCCCCGCCCGTATGGTGATGGGAGCAGCAGTAGAGCACGAGAGGGAAACTTCAGCGAATGTTTAAGTGCCCTCGGCGGGACGAGCTGCTCAAGTATGACAGGAAACTCAGAGGCTGTGAAAGAGAAAACTGGCAGCTCTGACTACACATACGTTCACCCTTTCTAAATAGCAAAAGATACTGCAAGGAAAGTCAGAAGACAGATTCCAGTCTGGGGAAGCATGAGACGTACGTAACCGACGGTAGGAAAGAGTTCCTACAGGTTGAGGGTCAGCCTGGCCCGGGAACCAGCCGCTGGCCCGAGGTGGCAGCCACAGCAGTCACTGACCATGAACCAGGGCCAGGGATGTGCGGGTCAGAGGACAGTGTCTGATGGACGAGGGCCACTCCATGCGCTGTCAGCCGAGGCTGTGAACTACTGTGCCCTTTGGGGGAGGTCACTGGCTGCTTTTGTGAAAATATAAAGCGTGTTCACTCTTTGACTCACCGGGGGGTAGGGGGGGAAGTTGATAAACTTTTCTTTATCTGCTCCTGCTAGTAAGAAGTCCCAAGCATTGAACCCAAGCCAGCTGTGACCCCTGAGTCCAGCTCTTTCCCCCACACTGCATGGCTGATGTCCACGCTTGAGTAGTTCAGAGTTTGTCTTTTGCCTAAAATATTTATTACTTGTTAAAATGCAAATATACTCAGAAATCAGAGCACACCAGAAACTGATACCTGGATCTGAATTTTTTCCCTGGGGCTGTAGGTTTAGTGGGGGTGGGGATGCATGGGAGGGAGGACCCTGGCACTGGGACCAGTGCAGGGAGAGGGGAACGGACCTTCCTGGCCTCACACGTCAGGCTGCTGGCCTCTCTCTCGAGCTTTTCGTGGTTACAGAGTGGCGGAAACATTGAGTATGGAGCAGCTTGTGCCATGGGGGGTAGGACCACCCCTGAGTGTTTCTGTCCCCACCACGGCCCCAGAGTGGACACCATAAGGACCCTTTGTGGGCACTGGCCCATGTCTGTTAATAGCATGGTCAGATCTGCTGGCGGCAAGGACAGGCTGTCCGGGAGAAGCCAAGGACGGGTACTGCGTGTAAGGATTTGGGAGGGAAGTTGAGGGCATGGGAGCTGGAGTGAGACCCTCACTCCTATGCATGTTCGGGCTGTGTGATTTTGGGGGACCTGTCCGTGCATTGTGGGGTGCCCAGCAGTACGCCAGGCCTGTACCCACTAAGATGCCAACAACACCCCCGAGTCGTGACAACCCAAACTGTCTCCTGACGGTGCCAGATGCCCCAGGGGGCAAACCGGCCCCAGTCAAGGACCCCTGAGTCAGTGGAACCTCCCGTCTGGAGCGGGGAGCTGTTGGGAAGCGGAAGCAGATCCGTTCTCTGTGGCTCATGGAATCTCGCCTCTGCCATGTCTTCCTTCAGACACTTCCTGCCTGCCCACGGCCTGCATCCACGTGACCACCCAGGCCCAGCACATATGCTGCCCGTGCACCGTGTTCTCCACGGCTATTAATTCAGGTTCTCAGGCAGCAGGGCAGGTGGCCTGATGAGCGGCCAGGAGAGCCATCCAGCCAGCCCCTGGCGCCCAGTCAGCGGGGTGGGGAAGTAGACGTGGGCTCCTGAGCCCGCTGCTGCATCGGGCGTCCTGGGCACGGAGGTCGCGGTGGGGCGGACCCCCAAAGCCCAAGTCCCCCAGGTGGCTGATGGCCTCATCTGAACATTTCCACGTAGCAGCTTCATGCGTGTTCGAGTCCTGGGACTGAGACAGAATAGAAGAGCAGCCACCATCACAGAGCAGCTTCTGGGACCCCGAGCAGGTGCTGGACACGTGAGATGCTGTCTGATGCTCCTCCTGGCAGTGCTTGGAGGCTGCACACTGACGCCCCCTCTTCTCAGACCAAGAAGCTTGGGCTTGGGGCGGAAACCGCCTGTCCACACGTGCACATCTGGAAAAGCCGAGTGGATTTGGAAGCTGGTCCCCTCGACCCTGAATCACTTCCGTGTCAGTGACTCAGAGCTCGGCGGGGCTCAGGATGCGTTTTCTGGGTGGCGAGGTCAGAGGTGGTGCTGCCTTTCCAGGCCTGTACCAGCCGATGCCATGGCTGAAATGGACGTGCGCCGCTTGTACTGGGAAATAAGATGAACGCAATGTGATTTCATACTAGAAAATCCACATGGTTGAAAAGGAGAGAGTAAAGTGGAGAGCACGGAGAGTTTGGATTCAGTTCTGAGCCCGGCCTCTGGGATTCGCAAGGGCCTCACGCAGAGCGGAGCCCACAGTGCGTGAGCACGTTTAGGGGTGCGGGTGGTTACTGTAATGACACGCTCTAGCGACGTAGTGAAGGGGTGGACGCTGGGGCCAGCCTGCCTGGGTTCAGCTGTGTCTCCACCTCTTGCCCGTTGCGTGACCTTGTTTCATCCGTGGGGTCCGGGGAGGATCAAGTGATAACCTGCTGGCTCTTGTGAGCTTAGTGCCTGGCCTGGGGTGAGGGTGGGGTACTCCCTGCCCACCTCCGTCGTCAGCTTCCCTCCTGTGAGGTCTCCTCACCCAGCCTCCCCCAGCGCTCACCCTCCGAAGCCAAGGGCGCACACACCACAGCGTGTGCGAGAGGGAAGGGGACAAAGCCGCTCTGAAGGCCCCGGGCTGGCCCTCCAGGCCGGACACGGGGACGCAGGATGTGTGCCCTTGCAGCTTCAGAAGCCCAGCGGGGTGTTGGGGTCGGACGAGGCAGACTGGCACGAGGCCGGGGAAGCATTCTCCCCTTGAATTTTCTCCTGAGGGCGCATAGTCTCGGGCAGGCCCTGGGAGAGCCTCGGCCTAAGAAGTGACCAAAGGACGACCCAGTGTTTGCTCTGAAAGTCGAGAGCAGGCCTTGAAATCATAGCCCCTGCCCCTTGGTGCCTGCGCCCCCTTCCCCCCGCCCCGGACCACACTCTGGACCGCAGTCTGTTGATTCTGGTCGATGGTCGGGGGCAAAGTAGGCAGGCACTGAATAAAGGTCTTCACCCTGCCCCGTCCCCGGTCACCTCCTTGCTGGATTATTTTTTTAATTACACAAGCAACACATGCTCATTATAATAAATCAGGAAGGCATCTATAATTGTTCTAATAAGAAAGCAGTAAACTGATCAATTAGAGATGCGGAAAGACACATGCTCATTATAATAAATCAGGAAGGCATCTATAATTGTTCTAATAAGAAAGCAGTAAACTGACCCAATTAGAGATGCGGAAAGACACATGGGACCGAAAGATCCGCGGTGACTTCCTGCTTCCACAAAGCCAGCATCAGAACTCACATGCAAGTAAAACGGCTGGGAACGGCTGCACGTCTTGGCCCCTGTTCAGTGGTTGCCTTATTCCTGGACGTGATAGGAGAGTGGGAGAGAAAGGCTGATCTTTAGAAACTTGGGAGGCAGGGGCGTGGCCACGCCCTTGGAGGAGCTGACGTAACTCTCAGGTGAGTCCCCGGAGTAGCCTTGTCCGTGGCCCCGGGTACAAGAGAATTGACCTTGTGCTCTCAGGGAGCCCACCTCCTGGAGACGCCACTGGACAAGCCCACCGTGCCTGTGTGTTGGCTGTGGGATCACCCCGCGTCCCAGATGGGACTGAGCTGAGAGAGGTCGCCGGGCCTGAGGTCCAGAGCCACTGCAGCTGGGCTTGTGTTCCTGCAGGCCTTTCCGTGGTGCTTCCCCAGAGGCACTGCCCGGCCCCGTCCGTCCCCTGCTGCATTAATGCTGCTGGCACGCAGACATTGCTGTGCGTTCCCGAACGCCGTGTGCTGTGTTCTGTTGAAGGTGTACTGCTGCCGCCCCTTGGCCCTGGCATTCCTGGAGCTCACGGTCGTGCGGAGGTTCCACGAGCACGTGCACCAGCCCGACGTGCCGTCCCCGCTGCGGGCTGTGCTTGGGCGGCTCAGCGCTCTCTACGCCCTGTGGTCCCTGAACCAGCACACGGCCCTGCTTTACCGAGGTGAGCCCCCTGCGCAGGAGCTGGGCGCCCTCCGCTTTACCCAGGAGACTCTGCTTTCCCCGTGCGGTGCCCCTTCCGTGCCATTTTCTGAGCACTCATCAGACATTGAGTGAGGAGCCCAGAGGCCACAAGAAGAAAAGTACAGCAGCAGGGTGGCGCCCACAGGGCCGAGCCCGGGTTGCTGGGGCAGCACCCCCAGGAATGCCCAGACTGGGGATCCGGGAGGGCTTCCTGGAGGCGGTGATGAATGGCCTGATTCCTGGAAGATTGGTGGGAAGGGGGTAAACCTGAGTTTCTCAACCTGCATTTTCATTATTATCCCCCAAGGAGCCCTTTTAGACGTTTTTTCCTAACCACCCCCATGGCGTGTTAACACTACAGCTATTCTGTGTATCTGTTCACGTCCTGTGCGTACATCTGGGCTGTGTGAGGAGTACACTTTTCCCCTCCCCCTTGCCAGGAACCCATGTTTTCCCTCTTGGGGCTGGTGTTGCCCCTGGGAGGTGGTGCCCGAGGGCTCCCGGGTAGAGGGAGCAGCAGGGTGTGGGGCGAGACGCCCACCCACTCCGAGTGAGCGGGCGCCGTTTTCTGCGGCAAAAGTCAGACCAAAGCCAGTCTCGCAGCAAAGTCGGGGCCACCTCTTTAGGCCTGTTGGACGGCACAGCACAGCCCGCCGCACTGTAGGAGGTGAGGCTGAGGGGCTGGGTCTCGTGCCCAGCCCCTGGTGGCTACAGACGCCCACATGCCCGCAGGTGCAGCTGTGTGCCTGCAGCCCCTGTTGGCCCCCAGCTCAGCCTCCTGCCACCGCCCGTGCTGCGCTCTGCCTGCCACCGGCCCTGCCCCGCAGGTCTCCCCCCAGCCCCCTGAGGCCGCCTACCTGGGCTTCAGCCTCCCCAGCTCCCGGCTCTGACCCCCAGCACAAGCTCAGTGAGCTGGCGGGAGGGGGGACACAGGAACCCAGCCCTGGCCGGTGCCTTTCTGTGAAGGGGTCGCAGCGGGGCTCGGGCAGCAGTAGCGAGGCATTTTCACACAGAATGGGCTCTTTTGGAAAGCTGTTTCAGCACGTTTGCAATTTGTGGGTAATTTGGGAGTTAGGGTAGCAGAACCCAGAGTAACCAGCGCTCTGCTTACAGGTGGCTACTTTTCTGGTGAACAAGCAGGTAAAACGGTAGAGAATGCCATCCTGGCCCTGTGTGCCCAGGTGAGTTGAAATCCCCTTATATCCTTATACGATTTCCACATTACACACGATCACCCGTATATTAACGTTCACTGACCTTAGCTTCCCACTGTTAGCACAGCCGGGAAACTTACAGAATGTGCTTATGTCAGAAATTTCAGGAAGCGTCACTTTCAGAGACTGGTGTAGAATCTGTACACATTCAGCTCGCTTTAATAATTTTTTACAGCGATATTGATAATTCTCTCCAGCATTTCATGTTAGCCTCCAATTTTAGTTTGTTTCACGGTATTTTCCTTTTTTTATTGCATCCTTCTACCTTTGTCGCCCAGAAAAGTCAAATGGCCCCAGCGCCACGTCACGTTCTGAGGGCACTCTGTCCACTGGAGCTTTGTGTGGGGGTGGACATGTTCTGGGACGGCGCTGTCCCATACCATCACCACTGGCCACCTGGGGCTGTTAGAATGGCGGCCAGTGTGACCAAGGATTTTTAGTTTTCTTTAATTTTTTTTTAAACCAATTTGTTTATATTTTATTTATTTATTTTTGGCTGCCTTGGGTCTTTATTGCTGCGCACGGGCTTTCTCTAGTTACGGAGAGCGGGGGCTACCCTTCGTTGTGGTGTGGGGGCTTCACATTGCAGTGGCTTCTCTCATTGCGGAGCACGGGCTCTAGGCATGCGGGCTTCAGTAGCTGTGGCACATGGGCTCAGCGGTTGAGGCTCGTGGGCTCTAGAGCACAGGCTCGGTAGTTGTGGTGCATGGGCTTAGTTGCTCTGCAGCATGTGGGATCTTCCCGGACCAGGGACCGAACCCATGATCCCTGCATTGGCAGGCGGATTCTTAACCACTGCACCACCAGGAAAGTCCAGTTTTCTTTAATTTTAATGAAACAGTCACGTGTGTTGTGGCTGCCGTATCGGGGGGTACAGTTAGAGGCATTTCTCTACTTTTGATGGTAAGACATGAACGAAAGTCCCCAGCATTTTGCCCAGTGTCTCACACGACGGGCGACAGGCCACTCCATTTCTCCCCTTCCAGGGCTTTCAAGTTGATGTAGTTCTAGGTGATGCCTCTGTGGTTGACATTAAGGCTCTCCCCGGGTTTGTTTCCTAAGCGCCCATCTCTCCCCACGTGGGCTCTGGGTAAGGGTGTCTCTGTGATCGTGCTGTGTACACAGGCCACGTTTACTTAAACAGGAGGGGGTCCTCCTTCATGTGTTCCACAGGTGGTGAGTTGCCATTATTAAAAATACAACCATCGGGGCTTCCCTGGTGGCGCAGTGGTTGAGAGCCTGCCTGCCGATGCAGGGGACACGGGTTCATGTCCCGGTCCGGGAAGATCCCACATGCCGCGGAGCGGCTGAGCCCGTGAGCCATGGCCGCTGAGCCTGCGCGTCCAGAGCCTGTGCTCCGCAATGGGAGAGGCCACAACAGTGAGAGGCCCGCGTACCGCAAAAAAAAAAAAAAAAAAAAAATACAACCATTGTTTTCCTTGCTCTCAAACGTGACACTTACACCACGGAGCTGGTGGCGGGTGGTCCTGGGCCATAATGCAGCCCAAGCCGCCTGGCAGATCCAGGCTCATCCTGACTCGGGGAGGCCAGGGTCGGCCGGGTGGAGGGCGCCAGCTCCTTCCCTGGCCCAGCCATTCCCTTATGCATCGTCTGTGGGGCTGTCCTCACCGTCGCAGCAGAGGTGAGCGTGAGACAGAGACCCTGCGGCCCACAAAGCCGGACTCTTTCCTGTGGGCCCCTTACATTAAACGTTGGCCGACCCCAGTCCAGGCTCGTCTCCCCTCACCCACCGTGGTGCCGAGGGTATGCGGAGCCGTGGAGCAGCCTCTGAACCACAAAGCGGGCTGCACTTCCCTGTTCTTGTGACTCTTTGCTCAACAGTTGCTTTCATACATTGTTCACGTCGCCCCCGTTCCAGCGTTCTTTTCAGTTCAGCCACGGCATTTCACAGTCATTTTAAGAAAATTGTTTTTTGCATTTCAAGAAAATGCTTGGGAGTCTTCTCATATAAATTCCACTTGTCATATTGAAGAATAATTTGTATAATGGGACGGGAGACTAATAAAACTACTGGGAACCGAAGAGCGTTGGAATGATGGCTTTTCCAGGTGCTCATAAATGCTTTTTCTCTTACATTTTTTTCCGGACATATTTTCCTCTGTTGGAACAGTAATTGCCCAGATAAGTCAGGGTTCAGAGACAAACCTCTGAAGACAGTTGCCAATTAATGAGCCACAGAATCGTCAGTTTTACGAGCGGTCCGTACCTTGTTGAAAAAAAATAAAACATTGGAAGTCTTGAGTGGATAGCAACATGGTGAAAATATTCAGACACACACTCAGGGAACCTAAAATCCAGGCCAATGAAAAGATAGCACTTTAGTAACTGAGCCGCATGTGCCTGCCCGCTGGAGTTACCGTTGCTAGTGGGCTGTAGGCTCTGTTGCTCGCTGGTCTCCATGGAGATGCCGGGAGTTGCCAAGTGTACGGACTTTGTTTTCCAACAGCTGAAAGACGATGCTGTTGCCCTGGTTGATGTGATCGCCCCTCCTGACTCCATCCTGAACTCACCGATTGGCAGAGCTGACGGCGAGGTAAAGAGCAGAGCCTCCTCCCGTGGCGGCTGGGGCCGCTGCACTCAGGACCGCGAGCCGGGGGCTCTCTGGGGCCTGATGGCAGTCGTTGCAGAGCCTGAGATGATGCCGTGGCCCGGGAGTCTCTGGTCACACGTGGGCAGCAGGGAGGGAGTGGCTGGGAGACGTGAGGGTGGTCACGGGCGGGTTAGCCGTCCCCCAGCCTGCCCTCCTCTGAGAAAGGGGACGGCATTGCCGCCCTCTTGGGCCGTGATGCCGAGGTCAGCCCGAGCCTGTGCCACGCTCGGGGCCCTGCAGCTGTCTGGCTCTTTTCACGCTCTCCTGGGAGCCTCTCCACCCCCGGGTCTTCTGACCGTCTCACGGCACTAGCTCGTAACCCCTCACCCTCTGCCTGTGCTTCGCCGGCAGCCCGCACGTGGCTTTCCGAGCTCCTCTCTCGCCCCTCATCCCCACGCTCCACAACGATGGCTTAAAAAGCAGACCTTGTCAGAGAGCTGCTCTGATGGAGCCCTGCACCTGAAATGGCACCAAATCCCTTCCTGCGTCCCCAGCCCACGCGACCTGACCTCTGCCCCGTTCTCCAAGGTCATTTCACACCGCGCCCCTCCCACCCTCTGGACTAAAGTCTCACTGTCCTGTTTCTCCGTCGTACTGGGCGCTTTCCCACCCCAGGGCCTTTGCACCTGTGTTCCTGTTGCCGGAGCACTTGTGTTCATTCTAAGCGGAATGCCGCCTCTTCAGAGAGGTCTTCTCCGGCCTCCAGCTGAAGTGCCACCCCCAAGAGTGGCCCCACTTTGTCCTGGTGTGGGACCCACACGGTGCCCACGGGTATCCCTACCTGACCTCCTCCACCACGTGGAGACGCCCGTGCTGGACGACACCCACGGGTCTGCTCAGTGCCTCCCACTACCTGTGGGTGGTTGTCCCTGTGTTTCCATGGAGACGTGGCATTTCACAGTGTTGAAGTCACTGCTGAGGTTCCAGGGCTGTCATGTTCTTTCTGCTGAGACTTCTGCTGACCCAGGAGACTGAACGTAGGGTGCTAGAAACCCTCCGTCTGTCCCCAGGGGACACTGCAATCAGTCTGGGGGGGGGGCAGGCGCCTGGACCGCTGACCAGCCCAAGCCACACCTGGGGTTAGGACAGGAGTACCAGGCACTGGGGTGGGCAGTTCGGACGAGTCCCCCATTGAATCAGGACGGCGGGGACCGTACATCTGTGGAGGGCCTGCCGTCCTCTGGCTGCACAGCTGGGCGGGGCGTCCCCGCTTACGGTGTGTGTTACCACGTCCACTTTGCCAGGGAGAAACCCAGCCTCTGGAGGGGCCGGGCAGGTTGTAGCGGAGCCAGGATTGGGGCCGAGATGGACCGTCTGGAGGGAAGGCAGGAGACAGTGAACGCTGCTCTTGGCCAGGGCCCCCGCAGGAGCATGAGGATGACGTGCTGACAAGCCCACGGGAGAGGGGCTGGCCTCTGTGACACAGGCGCACGGAAGCATTAGCCCCGAACGGGCGGCGCCGAGCGGCTCTGCAGAAGACGGCCCTGGCTCACGGGCGGGCGGTGGAGGAGTAGGGGAGGGCCGTCCCATCCCGTCCTGTCTCGATACAGGGGCCCCGGGTTCCACGCTGACACCAGAGCCAGCCCGAGGCTTCACCCAACAGGGTACCTGACGCAGTGCGCATTCCTCCTAGTGTTAAGGGCTGAGGTTTGAACCAGGTGCTCCTACGTAAGAAATTCATTTTATTTTATTTTTAATGTCAGGCATTACTTTTTATAAATTTATTTATTTACTTATTTTTGGCTGCGTTGGGTCTCCGTTGCTGTGCGCGGGCTTTCTCTAGTTGCGGCGAGCGGGGGCTACTCTTCGTTGCGGCGCACGGGCTTCTCACTTCAGTGGCTCCTCTTGTTGTGGACCACGGGTCCTAGGTGTGCGGGCTTCAGAAGTTGTGGCGCACGGGCTGTAGAGCACAGGCTCAGTAGTTTTGGCACGTGGGCTCAGTAGTTGTGGCTCGCAGGCTGTAGAGCGCAGGCTCAGTTGTGGCACACGGGCTTCAGTAGTTGTGGTGCGTGGGTTCAGTAGTTGTGGCTTGCAGGCTCTAGAGCGCGGGCTCAGTAGTTTTGACACGCAGCCTTCAGTAGTTGTGGCGCGCGGGCTCAGTAGTTGCGGCACACGGACTCTAGAGCACAGGCTCAGTAGTTGTGGCGCACGGGCCTAGTTGCTCCGTGGCATGTGGGATCTTCCCGGACCAGGGCTCGAACCCACGTCCCCTGCATTGGCAGGCGGATTCCTAACCACTGCGCCACCAGGCAAGTCCCAGAAATTCATTTTAGATGAACAAGCACAGCTGTAGGAGATTGAGATCATCAGTAAGTGAAGCATAATGCTCCAGGCTGTGCAGTGTCGCCTCGGATTGATGACCTGTGGAGACAAAGCCTGTCCTTGTGTCTCCCTGGGAGCCAAGAATAGCAGAACGTGGGCAGAACTGCTGGGTGTGTTTAGCAGGTGCAGGGGAGGGTGACTTCTTAAAAGTAACATTTGTCAGCATCAGCCAGATACAAAACCGGCCCCTTCCCTGTCTCCACGGACCTCAGCCTGGACGCCGGCCGTGCTGGGAGCAGGGAGGCGTCAGGCGGCTGCCTGCCACGCTCAGGACCTTCCTCAAAGATAACAACTGAGAGCAGTTCCACCTGGGGGGCCCTGAGGCGACGGCTAGCTGGCCCGGTCTGCACACTCTGACGGGGCAGGCGGAGAGGGGACAGTGCGTGCTCAGGCCCTGTGGCCCAGGGGACAAGCCGTCATGCTGCTGCTTGGCTGCACCGCCGCCTGCCAGCCAGCAGCCACGTGGGTGCGAGAGAAATGTTGACTTGCAGAATCCACCTTCCAGGAGAATTTCCAAAGCAAAGGGCAAGCGGGATGTCTTCATCATTAAGTGTACATTATGGTCCCTTATAGTTGCATTTTCACAATTGTTCTCTACTGGCAAAGACTGATTTACATAAATTAAATTTAAATCATCTTAAAATGTTTCCATGAGTGACAGGAGAGAACTTCCTGGGTTTTCACAGTTGCACTGGCACGCTCAAAATCTTTCTTATTACATACGTGTGTGTTCTGTATGTATTTTCTGCAGCTCTATAAAAACCTCTGGAGCGCTGTGCTTCAGGAAAGCAAGGTGCTAGAGAGGGCATCGTGGTGGTCGGAATTCTCTGCCAACAAGCCCGTCATAGGAAGTTTGAAATCCAAGCTGTAGTCGCACTGGCTAACTATGATGAAGCCGTGAAGACGTGGACCTCGAGTTCAAGTTCTGGAGGCCCCAGAGATGGCTGCCGCTCTCCAAACCCACAGCTCTGCCCTTGCCCGGCTGCTCGTCCTGTGGAGCCCAAGGCGGGACTGGCTCATCCTGGCCTGCCCCCCACCCCGAGTCCCAGCAGGATGGGTAACGCCCGAAGGGCAGGGCTGATTTGGGTCCATCCTGATTTGCTGGGTGAAAAGAAAACCTGTAAGATCATTTCTTCCTGATGGACTGAGCACTTGTTGATAATTAGAGCTTTGGACGTTCTGTTTTCATATGCTGATTGTGAAACGGGTCGTTGGTGGTTCGGGTCGGGCAATATTCTACCTTCGTCTGAGATTTCTTACAAGGCTGTGCTTCACCGCGCCCTGTACGATGCCAGTCTGATTCTTCGTTCACTCTGGTTTGACTTTCTCATGTAATTAAATTATAACCTTACTAATTTGCACCATGGACCACCCGAATGACATAGTTGAAGATTTTGCAGGAAAAGAAAATCAGTTGTATTACTTTGTTGTGTGGAACTGGAAACTTCCATCAAAGAAATGTTTCCAAAGGAAAAGAAATGCATAATGATTTGAATGTCTGGTCATCCTTAAGTTCCGACCTCCCAGTTGTGTACTTTGTCACTTTGTTACGTGAAGTGGTTTGTTCCTACAGGCAATGGAACACCCATTGCTGCCTGGCTCCGTGGCGGGGGGCGGGGGATGGGGGTGGGGGTTTGCTCCGGGTCCTGAGAGCCCTGATGGGGTGGCGGGGGGAGACAGATGGAGGAGGTTGATGGGTGTCTCCACCTGTCACTCGAGTGTCCCAGGTCAGGACGATGGCTGGTGGGTGGGTTCTCACTCGACACCCCGTCTCCGTTGCCCCTGGCCTCGGGGGCAGGGGAGGGGCCGTCCTGTGGCCTCACGAAGAGGCTGAGATGGAGGATGGAGGCTGACCAGGTGCGGCCCCTTCGGCCTCCAGTCCTCTTGCCTGGGCGGAGGGTCTTGTCTGAGGACCAGGGACCAGCGGGGCCTCAGGAGGAGCTTCACGGGGCTCCAGGCCGGCCCTTCTCTGCAAATACTGGGCTACACAGAAACCTGCCCTCTGGGGGAGCCCTTGTCACGTGGTCTTTGTCTGTGAGCGCCCTCAACACCTGGCCGTCGAGGGCCAGGGGCCCCAAGGACGATCTGCTCTGTCCCAGCGCTGCCTACGTGGCGTCCCAACCCCGGCTCCCTCCGTCCTTCCTTGGCGTGTCCCCCTTCCCTGACCGACCAACGGCCTCTGTGTGGACACGGATGTGGTGTTGGCAGCGGACTCCTTTCCCACCTGGTACCTGAGCCAGGGGGGCCTGTCCCTTGCCCTGCTGAACCGTCAGTCGTCTGCCAGAAGGAATTATGTGACGTGCTGCCTTTACCGCATGCATAGCCCAGTTCCCTGGACAGCACAGCACTGAATGGTTTGTAGTCAATCTTCCCATTGGTCTGGAAGCTCTTGGAGGTCAGGGTCCAGGTCTGAATCACCTGTTTCCAGTTCCCAGCTCGAGGCCACACACGGGAAGTGCTTGGCAAGTGCTGGATGGAGGCGTGGATGGGTGGATGGGTGGATGGGTGGATCAGTGGGTGGATGGATGAACGAATGAGTTAATGAGTTGCATGAAAAAACTCATGAATGAATGAGTGAAGAAACGAATGAATGAATGAGTAAAAGAATGATTGGTGTGCATTTAGATGCCACTGAAGGAAGGAGGACCATTTTGGCCCCAGTGCCCAGCGATGGCAGGTACGGCTGTGGTCCCAGTCACTCCATCAGGTGGGGCTGCTCGCCTTCTCGCGTGAGATTCGGGCCTTCCTGTCTCCACCCTGGGCTTGTGCTGTTGCTTTGAGCCCATGCTGACCCCCGCCCACCTTTCCAGCTCCGGTACTGGCTGCAGCTCCTGGTCAGCCCCATTCCAAGGCAGTAGCCAGGGCTCTCTACCCTGGGTGGGGCTGCCTCCCCTCTGGATCCCTGGGACCAGGGATGGTCTCCTAGCTCTGCCCCTCACAGGGCGCCACCAATGAGGTGCTCCGTGGAGGGAGAGGTGAGTAGAGGGGTGGGCACGTCCTTCACACTGAAGACCAATGACATCCCGTCTACAGCAGACAGGATGTGTGGACCGCCGTGGAAATAATGCTGGAGTACGGTGTGACCAGACGGAGCCCACCAGCCACTGAAAAATCCATTTTTCATCTTGCAATATCACTGCAGTTGAAATTCTTTAAAAATCATCACAAGGAAAAAAAAAAGCCAAAGCCACTGCTCCCCTCCAGCCCTATTAAATGAACAAATGCTATTTCCAGAGCTACTCACTTGCCCGTCTCAGTAACCAAGTGTTTTTTTAAGGAGTGTGTTTCTGCTCCTATGTAGAAAATCATGTATCAAATGACAGAACGCTGGATAAAGGCGTCGTGACACAAACTCGACTTGGCCAGGGAAGCAGCAGTGGTCACACTCAGGCTTGGTCATTCAGCAAGTGGATGCTGACCCTCCACGAGAACTTACAGGAAGGGAAATGCAGAAGGGAGGGCCAGGTGGGAAGAGCAACCCAGGGAAGGGGCGTCCTCGGCATCTTCTGAATTGGCGGAGCTCAGCAGGGAGGACTTGGAGTCCGGGGGTTTCCCTTGTGACCACACTGCTACCGCACCTTGGATTTGATGTCCTTCTTCCCCAAAGTAATGGCCACGGAAGATGTTATGGCCGAATTGTGTCCCCCCAAATCCATATGCCAAAGTCCTCCCCCCAGCACCTCAGAATGTGACTGTACTTGAAGGTGGGCCTTTAAAGAGGTGATTAAGGTAAAATGAGGTCATACACGTGGGTCCTGATCCAGTAAGACTGGTGTCCTTATGAGAAGCAGGGATCAGCACACAGACACACACAGAGGGGTAACCACGTGAGGACCCAGGGAGAAGACGGCCGTCCACAAACCAACGAGAGAGGCCTCAGAAGAAATCAACCCTGCCCACGCCTTGATCTTGGACTTCCAGCCTGCAGGGCTGTGAGGAAATCAGTTTCTGTGGTTTGGAAGCCCAAGCAAGGAAGCACACAGGACCCATTCCCGTATAATCTCAGTGAGCCCAGACAGGGGCCAAATGATTCCACCTGTTTCAGTGGGTGGCTTGGTGGCTGGTCCAGGGTTCCTCTGGCAGCGGGCACTCTGCGCCCAGAGTGTGCAGTTTGCAGCCTGTGTTTCCGCTGCCCAGAGGGAAAAGGCTAAGGGGACAGGGACAGTGTGTGTGTTTCCAGGGAAATCGTGGGCATGTGGGCGCTGGCTGGCGTGGGACATTGAAAGGGAAGCCAGGAGGAGACGTGTGCAGGGCTGGCCTGGGGACCGGTGTCCAGGTGGCACCTGACTCACAGCCGGCGTTCCCCTGCCTGCCTTTCTCTTCCACCAGCCCCGGGGATGGTGGCCACAGTGAGGAAGTGGGCTCTCGGGTCAGGCAGCCCACAGTCAGGGGCTGGGAAGCAGACTCAGTTTCCCCGGCTCCAGAGCGCACTGGCCTGCCACTGGGGAGAAACGGCAGGCCGTGTACATCCGATTCCAGAGGTAGGGATCGTCCCCATTTTCCAGGTGAGGACACTGCTGCTCGAGAGCTCAGGTGGCCAGCCTGCAGTCCCAAGCGCTTCCACCGTCTCTCGGGGAGGGGCTCCCGGGCTGGGGGCTGCAGCCCCTCCAGGGCTAACTTTGTGAGTCCAAAGGTGGCAGCAGAACCGTCGTGCGCTAAGTAGAGGGTGGAAGAGGAGACCGGCTGCCTTACGTTCTGTCCAGGTGGCCTGTGGTGAAATCGTCCTTCCAGAAGGTTCCTTCGTCCATAGCAGGGGCCTCAGGACCAGTGTGCTGGTTCTCTCTGGCGCGCTGGGTGGGCGGGTGTTCAGAGTCGCACTAGTGACCGTGTTAGGAGTGGAAAGCAGAGTGATTTGGGATGATTGATCCTCCCCAGGATGGTGAGGAACCACGGGCATCTGGCCGGTCCCCAGGGCGTGCTCGCAGCCTGAGGTCGGGAGAGCCGCACGTGAGGAGCGCAGGTCTGGGGCCAGGCAAACATCCTCCCAGAGAGGGTGGGCATTTCCAGGAAGACGCCCTGCTCCCAGGGATGCCCTCGGGGAGGCGGGAGGCCTGGGGGCCTGGTGGCACCTCTGCAGGACCCTCACCTCTCCGTCTGCAGCCACAATGACGGTGACAGCTCTGCCGATGGTGCCTGCCCCACCCCTACCCCCTTTCCCCCACTCCTGCCTGGCTGGCCCACAGGGGCCAGAGGCAGCAGAGACAACACTGCTCAGAAAGCAGTGACACTGGCCCAGCCAGGGGGACACAAGAGCCCTTTGTGGGGACGGGAGGGAAGAAGGTGCGGGCATCCTGCCCAGCTGTAGGCCTCAGACGGTGTCTGGTCTGTGTTTGCACGACGTCTTCCTACAGCCAGGCTGGAGAAGCACCCCTGCGGTCCGGTCACCAGGGAGAGGTTTCCTTGCTCTGCTCCAGGACCACAGTGGTCTCAATAAATCTCAGCCTTGGACCAGGTCCCACGCTTCCCTGAAGCAACCTTGAAAACTCCAGGGTGATGGGCCCGGAGAGGCATGAGCGGGACTGGAGCAGCCAACAGCCATGGGCACCCTACCCGCCAGCCAGCTCCACCCCTCCCCGACCTCCACCCAGGCCCTCCCCATCATCCACCCAGCCCCGCCCCACCTTTATCCAGCCCCGCCCCCACCTCCCTTAGCCCCGCCCCCACCTCCATCCAGCCCCTCCCCAACATCCACCGTTTATTTAACAAACACCGCTAAGCTTTTGCTGTGTGCTGGTCTCTGAGCAGGTAAGTGGAGGTGCTCCGTGGTCGCCGTGCTCGGAACTGCCCAGCAGGGGGCTGGCCGCTGTGGTGCCCTTTGCTGCGGCTCCACATCTCCGCTGACGGGCTCTTGGGTGCTGTGGGGGCAAAGTCCGGGACACAGTGTGCACCCAAGCAGTGGGCGTGGAGGAGATGCAGCACATCTGCCACCGGCACGGTCGCCTGGCACTTCCAAATCTAGCAGAGCCACACACAGCCCTTGACCCAAGGCGGCCAGGGGAGGCTACTCCTCCGTGCACGGCTCCCCTCGGCTGTGCCGCGCACTCCTGCACTGCGGCATCCGCTCTCCAGCCCAGGCGGTCTCCGCACGGCCTGACCCGGGGCCCGCGGCCTGTCCAGGGCGGCTGATACATCCCAGATGCAGGACCCTGTTCGTCCCTTATCACCGAGCCCTGGGCACTGTGGGAGCTGCCCTGTGAGGTCACGGCTGTCCAGTTAATCGGCCCGACCGTGGGTCAGGTCCAACCCTGGGAGGCGGGCAGGGGTGCCTGCAGCGGGGGGGCTTCTAAGACGGCCCAGGCCCCCAGGGCGAGCGTCTTGGGAAGAGAGGCCCCCTGGTAAACTCTGACAACTCCTTTGGCAAATTCCCAGCCTCCTGCCAGGTAGTACATTAACCACTCAGGTGCCACCGAGCTCCGGTCCAGAGCTGAGCTGCAGCAGACGGTCTGCCACCTGGTATGCCGAGGCTGTGCCAGACCCCTGAGCTAAGCGACCGCT